TACTCTTTGAAAAACAGTTATCATCGGAATGTTAGTTATTTATAACATTCGATTGATACTATGTTAGGTTCATTTTTATACAATATTTGTATGATTTAGACCAATCTTCAGCACTAACTTTACAAAAGTGCAAATTATTTTATGATAATATATCATTTGTAACTAAATAACATAATGTAGATTACGTTGTGTCTGTTAATGATGGAAACCAGTACTACTTAAAAGCTGTTACTAAACTTATGCAGTGTACAATCTGTAATAAATATTTTAAGGGGTATAAATTGATCAAGCATACGTGGTTTGACATATTTCTTCTTGTGAGGATTACTGTTTTCCGTGGGTTGTCGCTTTCTACAATCTTTTATATTAAGAGTCAAACATGTTTCTTCTAGTGACTAAATTAGAAGGATGATTTCCAAATTTCTACTGAGAAATCATGGGCAGTAGTTGTACAGTAGACAGAATGAGGTTAGCATTGGGATCTATGATGCATGCTTTGTGTTGTTAGGGACTCGTCAAGTAGATCGCTGGAGTTTACTCATATCGAGTATGAGATAAAATTCACCTACTTTTAACAAATGATGATTGACCAATATTGCGAATTGACTGAAGTAACAAATGTACACTACTGTACCTCAAGTCAGTGATATAAATGTTAGGAACTCGTCAAGAGAAATGAAGGTACTGGGATGGATTTAAAGATAAGATTGAATCAACACTGAATAGTAAAAGGGATTTGAAACCGAACATTTTTCTTCCTCTTCTTCTTCTTCTTACGCACGTTACACCTCATGGAAGAGCATAGGACACACACCAACATTCTCCATCCAAATCTATCCTACAAAATCATCCCCAGTCCTTTCCAGTTGGTATTCATTCTTCCCATGTTCGCTTTATTACCTGACACAATGTGTTATTTGGTCTTCCGCTTTTCCGTTTCCCTCCAACATTCCGAGTTAGAGATTGTCTCGTGATGTGGTTCTGTGATTTCCTCAATGTTTTTCGTATTCACTTCCAGTGTCTCTTCCTGACTTTCTCTGTAGTTGGAGGTTAGTTTGTTCTCTCCCACAGTCGGTTGTTGTTGATGGTGTATATAGACAATTGTTAATAACTACTTGTACATTTTTGATGATGGTTGTAGTAGTTCTCCACATTTCAGCTCTGTACAGTAAAACTGCCTTCACGTTCGTATGGAAGATTCTGACTATGAAACTGGTTGACAGTTCTTTTTAGTCCCTTATGTACTTCAACGGTAGGAACTCTGTCCTTGCTTTGCCAATCTCTGCCTTTACGTCTGCATCAGATCCTCCACGTTCATCGTTGATGCTATCCAGGTACTTGAAAGTTTCCACCTGTTACAGAGTATCTCCATCAAAAGTGATTGTATCGGTTTTCTTCGTGTTGTGTTTGGGGATCTTGCTCTTTCCCTTGTGTATGTTGATGTCTACTGATGCAAAGGCTTCTGCCACACTAGTTGTTTTGATCTGCGTTTGTTGGTGTAAATGTGATAGAAGGGCTAGATCATCTGCGAAACCCAATCTGTTCACTGTATTTCGTGTTTCCCCTCAAGTGTGGAGTTCTTCATAATCCAGTCAACCACCAAAGGAAAAAGAAATTGAGAGAGTAAGCAGCCTTGTTTGACTCCAGTTCTCTCTTGGAATGGGTCTGTCGACTGTCCTCCATGCACCGCTTTGCACTTTAGTTCAGCGTATGAATTTCATATGATTTTGACGATTTTCTCAGGTACTCTATAGTGTCGAAGACGTTTCTATATTGTTCTCCTATGCACAATGTTAAATGCTTTCTTATAATAAAGGAAGTTGATGTGTAGTAACGAATTCCATCCATTTGATGGTTCAACGATAATCTGTATTGTTGCGATTTGGTCTGTGCACGACCGATTCTTGCGAAATCCGGTTTCATCCTGTTCGTCGACACTCAGTTGAAGACCTTTACTAGTACTGATAGTAGTGTGGTGCCTTTGTAGTTATCACATTTGCTCAGATCTTCTTTCTTTGGTATTTTGATGAGATTTGTTTCTTTCCATTTTGTCTGTGGCACTTGTTCTTCCTCCCAAATCTTTCTGAATAGAACATAGATTCGCTCATCCATAGGATAGTTAGATGGATCATCCTATGCCATTAGAATGTTAATCAAAGAACAAGACCATATTCTACAGTGAAATTGTTTTTTCAAGCTCAGTCGTCAGTACTTACCGTTGTTAACCGATTAAAAAGATGTGCTTTAAATGGATTATACGCTTAACAAATAATGGGTTGCACAAGTACGTGTATTTAAATTTATTTATTTATTTATTTTAACACATAGATATTGGTACAAGGAGGCACCAAACAGACATGCGCCACATAAATCATTCGATTTGTGAGAGGGCTGGAATACTGACTGGGTGCCCGAACCGAAGCAGGTAGTTTTCTTAGGGGGCCACACCCCGAGCCTTTGACATAAATATCTGATCCACAAGGCAGTGGAGCATCGTGAGGAGATGCAGTCCCATGGTAGCCGGTGACCAACGATTGATTCATACGCCATTTGTTCCCTCAGGATACTGGAACCCATGTGCACCATTGGTTTGAAATCCGGTTAAAGCGCCGACATTCGCTTTTCGTCCTCTCAATTTCGTAAACAACACCCCCGCCACGAGAAGGCAGTGAGTAGGACTTCCCCGGCAGAGGCTGTATACGCGTGGTCATGTGAGAGCATTTCGAGAGGGAGGGCGGGCCCACCCCACTCTCGGCCATACCATGGCATTTGGGGGCGCATGTATTTAAATTGTCTGAATACATTTCCTATAGATCAACAATCTTTACATAATTAGGAGTTCCGAATGAATGCTCCAACTATTTTATGTTATAACGAATCTAATCGGAATATTAAGCACAGGAAAGAGACTGAAGAAATCATTTTAATAAAAAGGCTTTTAAAGTGTATTTGAGTGTATGACTGAAAGAAAATCATACAAGTTACTAAGTAGCAATTAGTACCTTTTAATTTGTTTTTTTTTCTTTTTTACATTTCTAATTGACTTGGATCTTTCATACATAATCCTGAAATCAACTGTAAAGTTGTTTACATAATTCAATCAAGTTTCATATGGTCTCATTTTTAATCTAATAAAACGTTTGTATAATCAAGAGGTATATTTATTATGCAATTTAATTTTGATTACAATCTATCCTACAAACTTTAAATAATAATTGCAAATATCAGAAGGGGTTTTGTGGGGATTGTAGTAATTTCAATAATTGAAATCATGAGTCAATTGAAGCTAGACCACAATGAAAAACCTGGAAGCACTGGACGGCCGTTTCGTCCTAGCACAGAGTCCCCAGCAGTGAGCATCCACGACCACTCTTGCGAGCAAATACTTAACCCTTACACCACTGAGCCGGTATCCAACGGTGTTAATGTCTAACTTCAACCAATTCACAAAGTTGCGCCACCATCCACCATTGTTTTAAGTGAGTTATTATCTCACAACAGACGCAGTTGAACTCCACTGGTCATGGCCTCTCGCTAGAACTCCAAGAAATATCTTCTGAAACCAGTCACTAGTGATAAGATGATTATTATTATCAGAAAGGAGTTTTATGGAGATTGTAGTAATTTAATCATTTAGTTCATGAGTCAATTGAAGCTAGACCATCATGGAAAACCTGGAAGAACTGGACAGACGTTTCGTCCTAGTATGAAACTACTCAGTAGTGAGCATCCACGATCCCGCTAGGACGAAACAGCTGTTCAGTTCTTCCAGGTTTTCCATAGTGGTCTAGATTCAATTGACTCATGATCTCAAACATTAAAATTATTTATTGGGCAAATATGACAATCATTGATATGCAATTATGTTAGATAATATTTGCATAAAACTAAGTAAGTAAGTAACATTTACATTTTATAGAAGTTAATGTTTATCTTGACGATGATGAAATTTTGACAAAATGTATTAGTCAAATATGAATATTTGTCAAGATTAGAACAAATAGTTTGACAGTAATTAGGCACCAAGTATAGAGGAAACATTTTATGTGAAAATTATATATGAACTAATCTCAGCAATTGAAATTTAAAAAATTCCAATGTTTCGTCCAGTTAAGTTGTTTGGACTTCTTCAGGGTAATAATCAAAATAGTATAGATTTGATGTGATCTGATTTCATTATTACAACTCTATATATTTTTTTGATAATTTTGATTTTGATTATTACCCTGAAGAATTCCAGATAAGTTAATTGGACGAAACGTTGGAATTATTTTAAATAATTCCCTACAGATTCTTAAATGGTAGTTTATAATAACGAGATTGAATGTTAATAGATTCCAATAAGTTTCCAAGGTTTTTTTTCGAAAAGGATTACACTGTACTTGTATACATTTTTTCATGTAGAAATAGAGAGTGTATCTATTTGACTAACTTGGAATGGTTGAATTTAGTCAAATCTTTTAAGGGAAATGCATAGTTTAGCCATAATAGTACTTCCTTTCAATCATGAATTATTTTTTTATTTGGAAATACTTTAAAATTTAATTAAATTTAACTATTTTGTCAAAAAAAATGTGCATAGTGTTTAGTTTCCAAACAGCAAATATTTCTTTATTATATAGGATAATCAGCATTACACAATGATCTATGTTCGTTCAATTATAAATCAATGAACGCTAAAATATGACCTTCTAAACACCGGTATCTAGTGTTGGACCCATAAGCATTTGATTGGTAGACAAACCGGCCGGCCGGCCGGTTTAGATTTTCGACAGGCCAATAAGGAAAATCGATACTTTGTACTAAATTATCATTAAAGATAACCAGTTAAAAGTTAAAGTATTTTTACACAATTTTGTTGAAATTATTAGACGGACCAACAGGAGAACTCAACAAAACATTTTATTCTTCTGATCGTGGTAATTTTAAACATTTCCCCCTGATATTTTTACTTTATCTTCAATCGGTTTTATGTTAAAACACAGGTTTGAATCAAATACTCAGTGTGTATAATTAGGAAGGCATGCAAAAGTAGGCACAGAAATAGATTTACATACTGATTATGGTGGGATACTATTGGAGTTTTCTAGCACAAACATACATTCAAATAAGGGAAGCACATATTTACACAAATGTATAGATATATATACATGTCATTTGTGTGCATGTCTATTTATCCTATAAAAATAAAGAGACACCTTGAACATACACCGACTGTGTGTCAGTTAGTAATGCCGGTAATAGAAAACTGCCTGAAGAAGAAGAATAAGGTTATCGTTTATCAAGCATAAATTTACCAGAATAATTTTAATCGATCCATAAATATACAAAAAAACACTGAACGAACATTACGAAAAAAACTTATTTTCAATCTTAAACACAATAAAACTAAAGTGAAAGTGAAATATTAATTTACACTTATTTCTATTCTATTTTACTTCTATCATAGTAGAATATTATATTCATTAAGATTACACGTCACTTTGTATTATATTGAAGATTATGAAGCCTCATGATAATTATCAATTTATAAATAAGTATAATACATATGGATTTATTCTCATATCTATTTTTATATTATCGAATCTATGCGTAAAATATACAAATGGAGCAGCGGTAAGTGAATACTTTTTTCTTCTTTCTTTCTTTAAATCTATTTGTTTGATTTAAATGTCTAAGGATTATTGAACTGAGTAGTGTTACACGGAAACAATATTTGTCAAATGAATAAGTTAAACTGAAATAAGATTAATATTAAGTTGTAGTAAATAAGCTGAAAAGATATCAGACTAATAATTTGAAAACTGTTGATTCGAATCTAGTAATCAGGTAGATTATGTTTCAATTTCCATAATTATTATGATACTTTTTATATTCCTTACAGATATGTGAAATAGTTAGATTATTATTTATATCAGTTTAGTAAGCTTTTATTTTGTTATGTATTCTATAATTAGTTCATCATATTTAAAGTGGACTACATAAACTTTCATATTGTAAATGTATAAAAGAGTTATTTATGAGATTGTGTATTTCTTTTTTTTATTTATATTATTCCAACTATTACAGACGTGCATACCATCGCCGAACTGCACAGAATGCACTTGTATGGGAATTCCGGGGCCAAAGGTACGTATTGTATATGTTACATTATCGATTTCTGTGTGTTAATTGCTGTTGACAATGAGTGGTTCAGGCTATAGATATAATATATATTAGTTGATCAACTTATTTGATTGTTTATTTGGTTGGCTGTGAAGATTAATTCTGTTTCAAGATATGTTTTGTCAGAGAATCATTTTAGCTGGTGAATTTGTGAAAACTAGAGATTAATTGAGTAGAATTATTCATTTGATTGATTCTTTCAACATTTATATAACAATTAACAGATAAATTTTTTTCTAGTTGTAAATCAAGTATTAGGATAACTTAGCCTAAATTAGGAAGTGATAATAATAGAAACAGAGTACATACAAAGTGTGCAACATGTAATTAATAGTTTGTGAATATTACAATCCAAAATGAAACAACACTACTCGTGTGTGTGTGTATGTGTGCTTTCAAATATATTGCTACCAAAATTCATAGATACACATATGTTCAAGCTAAAAAAAAATTATTACTGGGCAGATGATCATTATAGTTCAGTCTAAAAAAACATACTTTTTTAATTTTTATTTTATCAAAATTGTACTACATCCATTGTCTTTATGAATCTTTCTTAAGGTATGATTGAAAAATGATTGATTCCATACTAGGAAGAAACGGCCGTTCAGTACTTCCAGGTTTTTCAAGATGGTTTACCTTCGATTGACTCATGAATTCAACTATTAGAATCTGTATTAATTTTAAAAAAATAAAATAACCATTTAAGGGAAAGGATCTGTTACGTTTGCATATTTCTAGAGAATTTTATCTAAAACGATCCATTATGTTTATTAGAAAATAATGAACAGAGGGCGGAATTTCTGATTAATAGATGTAAATGTCTTGTTTTTTTTTTAAATGTTCATATCTATTGTGTTCATGATCAATAAAATTGAATAATAACTTCTGATCTATTCTTTTGGCTAATGTATGACATATGCAAAAAATAGAAGATATAGACTAATATTGATTTATGAGTCAATTGTAGCCTTATCTCTGTAAAATGTTCCATTCTGTATTCTATTAGACGAAGACTGAATTCCTTAAGAATAATTTATTGTTTTATGGAATTTAATGCCAAATGAATGCAGGTATATATATATATATATATATATATATATATATATATATTGCTTTCAGTGTACGTGTCAATGATTATTTAACTACATACGAAGACGTTTCAGTAAGGGGAAGAATAGTTTCGATAGGCGTGTTAAGCACTGAAAGAAAAAATAATCTCTAGATATTTAAAATATTGTGTAAATGATGATATAACATGTAAAGTAAGAACAATACTTGAAAAGATTGTACCAACTTTTTATATGCATAAGTGTTTGTGTATGTGTGTGTGTGCCAGTAACATCTGGCTATGTAATCTATACTATACAAATAAATAGATGTAGATATGTGAATTAAGTTTACTCACAATAATTCAAAACAATAAATTATAATATCAAATTCAATAGTCTGATATGAATGACGTGATATGAAAACACCAGATTCTATAAGGTAAACAATGAAATATTAGTCGATATTAGCTTGTTGTTTTTTTTTTACAGTACAGTAAAATTTCTTTATCCAACTGTCCCAATCATGTTTTCTAACATTATCTAACTGATGTAAAATGAATTTGATTGATTGGAATCATTTGTATATCCAAGGTAAAAAAAAATAATTGAATCATATTTGGTTAAATGGCTATAATATCCTTTCATATACCCTTTCTATTTCATAACAAGAAAATAATACAAAATTATTGGTCACAAGAAGTAATTTAATAGTGATCAAATTATACACTTAGTTCATTTAACATTATCACATGCATATTCAGTCTGTACTACAATGACAATAGAGATAAAACATTGATAATAATAATATTATTATTATCGTTAGTGTGTCCAGTTTAACATTTTACTTCAAAAACCACAGAAATTTGACAGAATTACCCTTGAAACATACAAACACATATGGATATGAGGAATTTTTTGACTTGACAAGTTTCGTAATTGTGTAATAAGATTATGTATAAATAAGATTTATAATTCACGTCATTTGATCATTTATTTATTGGTTTATATTTGCATCAGTACTTCAAAGGTCACTTGGTTTGGGTATATGGATAATTTAACTTAATCTATTAAAATATATACAGTTTTATTGCCATCATGTTTATATTGTTTAGGCTTTCAATTGACCAAGCTGACTTCAGACTAAGTATTAATATATTCGTTAAAAAATGATATGAAATAATCGATTTTGTACATTTTCATTACTGTTTTCTTTGTTTTATTCTGTCACTCATTTTTGCGATAAAAAGGGTGATGTTGGAGCTCGTGGACATGTTGGTAGACCAGGTCCTGTTGGACAACGTGGATTGCCTGGTCCACCTGGTCTAGAAGGTGAACGGGGTATACCTGGTATACCAGGTGATCCTGGACCCAAAGGAATTATGGTAAGTTAAGTTATTACTATCACATAATAGCCGTTAGAAATTTGTTTGACTATTTGATTGGAATATTTGTGATCATAACGACTGATTCACTTATAAAGAAAATGATATGCATATTGGCGAACATCGTCATAGAATAGTTTGTGCTACATAATTTGCATACACAATTTTGTCTACGTACAAATATGTTTCAAGCAATTGACAGGCATTATCGAAATATATATGCCTAAGAAACAAGACTATGTAAGCTATGAAAACTATTGAACTTAAGCACTTTGTTGAGGCTTCTGTAGAAAATGAACCACATAGTTCACTAACTTTTCATCATTCTCAGATTGTTTTTTTTCGATAGAATATCCAGTGAACTTGATCAGCAGTAAAGACTGGTGTGTATTTTTAAATGTAACCTAGTAACCAAATAAAAATTTATATCTTAAAATTTGAGTTACGCTTATTGGATGGTTGAAGTTTAAATGGTATGAGCCATTATTGCAAGTCTAGAATGTGTATGGTTGACTACCTGTCGATGTCTAGTTAGTTTAATTGACCTAACTATGTAAATTATCAGTCTTGATAAAGAAAGGTGATCATTGACCACAAGCAACAGTTTGAAACAAAATAACTTTCTTTAATACTCTCAGAAGCACATATCTGTTTGTCTACTCTGATGTAGTGGCTCATATTACGTCACCAAAAGTCAGAAATACAATTTTCTACTTATCACAAAAATATATTTATGATATATGTTGAGTGCTAACAAACTAGATATTGAAGTGCATATGAGCTTGTCGACTGTGTCTCCAACTAACAAATATCAGATATCTTAAGAATTTACAATAGCCCCCCAAATGCCTTGACACACCCAAGGGTGGGGAAAGTTAGCTCCCTCACTCCCTCCCTCACTCTCTCTCACTCGAAATGCTCTCACACGAGCACGCGTATACAGCCACTGCCAGGGAAAGTCCTACTCACTCCTTTCTCTCAGTGGGGGTATTATTTACGAAATTGTTATGACGAAAAGCAAATGTCCGGAGCTTTAACCGGGTTGGTGGATATGGAGGATCCATCCAGGGGAGTTGGAAAACCCTGATTCCAAACCAATGGTGAACATAGACTCCAGGATACTGAAGAGATAAATGGCGTATGAACCAATTATTGGTCACTGGCTACCATGGAACTGAATCTCCTGATGTTGTTTCACTGCCTTTTTGGCCAGACGTCTAGGTCGGGCGTGGCTCCCTTAGGTAACCGCCTGCTTCTGTTCAGCACCCGGGCAGTATCACAGCCCACACACAAATCAAGTGACTTGTGTGGCGGATATTTATTCGATGTCCCTTTGTACCACTATTTATTTGTTCAAATAAATGTAAACAAATTTGCAATTCTATTTTCAAAGAAGTATTTAGATGAACTTATACTATTTTTTTACTGAATACAAACACATTTCTATTAACTTACCTATCAATTTAATAAATATCGGGATCATGGATGAGCACTGCTGAAGAGTTCCATACTAGAATGAAATGGTCATTCAGTACTTCCAGGTTTTCCATAGTAGTCTAGCTTCAATTAACTCATGAATTCAATGATTAAAATATCTAAATAATGTTTGAAATGATTCATTTATAGAATTATATTATGGACAATTACACATTAAGATAATATGACTAACTTAAGTGATATTTCTTTATTTAATATAATGTGTGGTACAATATCGGTCAATTTGATAAAATCACAAAGTTTTGCCTACTGTGAATTCTTTTTCTAGAAAAAAAAGAAACTATTATGAAAAGAAATGAGAAGTTAATTTTTCATCTTGAATAATTTACAAGTATTATTGTGATTTATAAGCCTACGTTATTATTATTGTTCGGTTAATCAAGATTTAGACACAAACATTGGTACAAGAAGGCATCAAATAGATATGCGCTACACTAATCGTTCGATTTGTGCAAGAGCTAGGATACTTCCCGGGTTCCCAAACCGAAGTAGTCAGTCAACAGTAAAATAATTATCAGCATAGTGTATTTATATCTATTGGTAATAACTAATATAATCTTATTTGGTTCTTACAATTAATTGAATTCTGTCAAATCTATGATTATTTGACTAGGGATAAACTTCATATTTTCAAGTTATTTGAGTGTATCGTATTTGGTAATTGTAGTTAAGTCTTCGTTTATTTAGTTGGTTAATTATAAATATTTTGGGATATTTTCTACCACAGAATTAATGAGAGGCAGACTTCTGTTATGTTGTGATCATTCTTTCGTCATGTCTGAATGTCCCACACTTGATATGTCCGTAGCATAATGAAATGGTATTTTTGTTGTAAAAAAATTTACATTCTTCATCTCATCCAGCAAAAATGACAGAGAAGGAAACACGCCCTCCATCATGGATTATGATAGTCTAAATAATGATTCCGGCTTTATTTTGGTAGATTGCCAGTTGCAAGGTTGAAATTGCAAACGAGAGTGAAGTTTATTTCCACCCGATTATTTTATTTGGTGTTGCCTGGAAGTTAGGCATCCTTGCGCGAAAATGAAGGTCCCGGGTTCGATTCCCGCATTCAAGGTCGTGAATCCGCACTGATGACGAGTCATATAATAGAACGAAATGGCGGTCCAGTACTTCCAGGTTTTCAATAGTGGTCTAGCCATGATCAGTACATGTTTTCAGAGGTGATGTTAAGTAGCTGAAAGCGACGTGTAAACAGACAAAGACATGAGATTTCGTGTCGTTCGGGACTGGCCCGTGAAGTATTTCCTCAGCATCTGAAGGAAACCATATTTTTCAACTGAGCCGAATCCACTTAACCAGGGTAGCAGTTTATGGTGTTGCCACCTTATTCATCTATGATCTTCTTGGATGTATTCAAATGCGATTAACTGACGTTTTTCTTTTGTAGTTAACTTTTACATTGAGATTAACAGACGTTGTTTGATTATTTTCAATTGTAGGGTGATAAAGGTGTTTTGGGTGTACCGGGTGTTGATGGTCTTAAAGTAAGTAACAGCTATTTACAAAGAAAATGAAGAAATAATGGTTTATTTTGATTCATTTCATTTACCTTTTACAAGCGTATCTATATTTGTTATTTTGCTGTTATCATACACAACATTAATGAATAAAAGCTACTGGCAAGCCAAAAATAAACATCAAGATACTTAAAATGATTTCCTTTGATCAGCTTTATCAATATATTCGTCACAAAAGAATTGCATCAGTGCCTAGCGGTGGAAAAAACCTTGCCAATTCAAAATAATGATTCTCAATAAAGCCTTACACGGATGAACTGACTGCAGAGGTATAATATATTTTCACAAAAAATGTACATAATCAGAAGCTATGCACTTTGTACTTAAGCCATGATAAAAAATAAAATAACCGTCATTTATATTGTTGAAAAGAAATCTTTTTAGAAGATGATTTACTGCTTTGAGTTAACAAAAACAATCAACCAATAAATAATCTATTTGTAATACCCCAACGAGTAGAAAAATTAGATTTTCTGACGTTTTGTGACTTGGTGTAAGTTACTTCTTCAGAGAATAAATAGTCAAATTAAACTTGGATTAATTTTAATTTGGTTATTTATTCTCTGAAGACGTGACTTACACTAAGTCACGAAACGTCAAAAAATCTAATTTTTCTACTCATTGGGATATTACAAATATATTAATTTATTTGTAACAATCTACCCAATGCTCAATTTATTCGAAATTATCAAGTTAAACCATGGTAATGATACCTAAAAACAATAAATGAAATGCTCAAAATTTCGACTGAGTGAAGACGCTGTTAGTAGATAGATTTATACAAATTCATTAATTGAGGATTATTTTCAGTAGATTTCAAGTATATTTTGAGTTGGGATTGTTTGTACAAAATATTTTATTGATATCATCATCTGTAACCTTTAATGGAACCACATATTCAATATTTTATTAGAATGAATTGAAGAAAGCCGCTTTTTTTGCTGTCAAATTAAGCTCCATGTACACTGAACTAACTAGATAGTTCAGAAACAAATAAGGAACAGTATTTCAAGGGTGAAAACTTCATATGAGTAGAATATAGGAGATATAACACGGGAAATCAGCTTTTATGTCTCAAGAGAGAATGAGACGAGTAATTATTACAGCACACAGAGTGTTTTAAGGCTAATTTTAACCAATAAGAATCGGTGTTATTAATGTGGTTTTATCATATCACAATAATATTTAGGCGTGAAAGATCGTAATGGTAATTGTTATTGAGACAATCTCAGCAAGTCATGATATGATTAATTCAGATCAAGTTCAACAGGTAGCCAATACATTTTATTTGATAATTAGATGTATAAAAAGTAATTCCTAATTATAACAGCCAATCATGAATATTGTAGCTTCTGGCTCTATTGTGGATTGACACGATTTTCCACAATAAATTACCTATGTGTAATGCATGTCAAAGTAATCTGAATTAACAGTAGTATTTACGATCATAAAACAGCTTTAATAGAGAGAATATGACATTAATAAAATAGATAGATTCGCGAATTGGAAAGCATGAACTAACATTAAAAATGAAGATGTGTGCCACAGCGACTGATTTTGACACATTACCCATGAATGTTATATAATTCACTACATAAATAAATAAGTGTTATATCCATCCAATAACAAGTTAGCAGTCATTAAAGAATATATAATGTTAAACAATCAAATCATATCTATACATTGCTGATTCAATTATATTCAGATGTCGACTTTAGTCGGAATAACGGTGCATATCAAATAAACAGGTTGGATAGAGATAGGGTCTAATTACTCATTATTGGTCATTTGCCAAACCCTTTGTGAAGTGCTTTGGTTCCTTCAAATTTGATCTTTCATCCTGTTTCTAACGCATTTAACCTTATCGCCAACCTATTCTCAAGTTTCTTTAGATAGACCGAGGATTTTGGAACATTTTCCAAATGTTGTTTATGTTCCTTCGACCTAATATTCAACTGTCTAGATGTTTCTCTCACATAATCTAGATTATGGTAATGGATAGACAACTGTCTGTTGTTCTTTATTTGGAACTATATCATTAACTTTCACTAACCCCAATTTTATGGTAGTATTAGCCCGAAAATACAATCTTAGATTATGTTTGTTTAGAATCCTCTTAATTTATACCAATGTTTATCTTATACCGTAAAGAAACATCAGAATAAATTAAGGGGATTTTAAACAAATACAATCTAAGAGTGTATTTTCGGGCAAATGGTACCATAAAATCAGAGTCAGTGAAAGTCGACGATAGGTTTCCAAAGAAAGAATGGTATATAGCATTATACGAATATCATAAATTCAAGAAACATTTACTAGTGTATAAAGTACTAAAAGTAGGTACAAACAAACCTCTTAATAATAGAGTTTTCATAGTGTACAAATATAATACTTCTAAAAGGTGATATATAATAATTAAAAGCTTGTATAAACACTAAGATCCCTAAATCAACATACCTATCGTCTAAATTTGATCGAATAGTTTCACAGTATTTGGGCGCCGAGTTGATGTGAGACATTAAAGAAGAACAAAGTATTTGTGAAATCTCAGCGAATGAATTTGAAGTAAATCCAACGTTTCGCCTGGCAACATGGTCCAAGCTTTTTTCGGATTATTTCCTTGGAAAAGTTTGGACCATATTGCCAGGCGAAACGTTGGATTTACTTCAGATTCATTCGCTGAGATCTTACAAATACTTTCTTCCTCTTTAATGTCTCAACATACCTATGTTTAAATCTGCTAATACTTTTATGAAAACCCATGCAACTAACGAGCACTTAGTTGGACGGAACGCTCATTCTAGATTTCACTAGTAACAGCTATCTATTTATTATAAAATCCGAGTTTATCTTGTTTAAAATAGTTTATGGTCATTTTTAATTCACGTCATATATCGTGTATACAACTGAACTTTTTATTAATTAGATGTTTATTGGATGTTCAATCTATTTATTCTTTTTTCAAAAATAATATTTAATTAAGCAAAGATGGATAGTGGATAGCAGTGGAATTCATGACGCGCGTTTCGTCCTATTCGGGACTCGTCAGCTGGATGTACCTGCTTATTTAATTAGTTTAGACTCATAATTTGATATCAGTCAATGAGAATCATTGAGATCACATTAATAATTTTGTTTTGCTATGTACTGTACTGTACTGGTTGTTCATATAGAAACTTTGAATGAAATGTTTACAATAAAAAATCAAAAGACATTGTAAGTAAAATTTAAAAAAAAACATTTTATGGTAAAAATCTTTAATGATTTGCAGTAAATTGGATGACTCTCCCATACTGTACGAACATTCCATGTACCTACATCAATGATTACTTTGGTTTTTAGAAGCATTGTGACTTCCGAAGGAACTTGGCTTTCACCATGAGGCGTCATAATTCTTCTAAATGAAGACCTTCTAAATCCCAGGGCAGAGTTCAAATGATTTGAATTAGTTTTTCTGGTTAGCGTTCTTTATAGCGAGTTAGTTTTCTACGGGATGTGGTCACTAACCCCACGTCTAACACTTCTCCTTAATCCGGGATCGGGATTGGCAGTAGCCCCAGAGGGGCTCCAGGCGGAGTTATTATAAAATTGATTTTTTTTCTATTTAGTAAATACGTAATTTTTTTTTGTTTTCAACAGGGTGCAATTGGTATTAAAGGTCCAAAAGGTTTCCCAGGTGAAGAAGGCTGTTGTGGTGCTAAAGTAAAATATTTTTTAAAATTTAAACTCTTTTTTCTTAAATGAAAAAAATATGTGATCTATTATATTTAAGTATTTATTGGTGAGTTAGCGTTAGATCAGATTCTGTTTATTAAGTCTCTAATCGTCGACTACGGCTGAATGACCTATCTGTAAGGAAGTAGAAAGCAACGGTACTAAATACAAATTTTATTATGAACTGAAATCAACTGGGGAACCACTGAAAGCTGTTATATCCTAGTTTAAGACGCCCCAGCAGTGCCCATGCATCAGCCTATTTGTGTTAGGCCTCCGGAGACGATTGGCAAGAAACTATGGACCTAGGTTTTATGCTAGTCGGCACCCACCAGAGAGGTATCCTTGAATCTGTTTAGGAACTGATGCACTTTTTGTTATATATGGGCTTTTGAACTGAAACGTTTATATTGGTTGACCAGTGGGTAATGACTAGTGTTATGTTTGTCTAGTTTATATATGGACCTTCATGCAAAGTTTAGATATTCAGGTCTTGAGGTTAGTACTATATACTTGGACAATAGAGGGGTTTGAGTGTTTCATATTTTCAGCTTCAGTCAACTCAAAGTACTAGAAATGATATCTGATCTCATTTTGATCTCTCACTGGATATTGGAAATATCTGTCTCGATGCCATTCGTCAATAGACACACGACTATTTGTTTATCTTGAGTGATTTTTAGAGTATAGTTCAAACTGAAGGTCATTTTGTCATAAACTGAACTATTGTTCACTCAACTAAAAATATTAAACCTTTGTAAACATTCTTTACTTAATTAGCCTGTATATTTTCAAGGAATGATTATAAAACGTTTGTGTCCATTGTCTTTTTCTACATAGCTAACCGTAAGCTTTCTTTCGACTATTAGTTGCTGCTATGTCTCTGAACGTTTAGATATAAAAGTTAGACAAAAATTACCCACCTATATTTTACTTGGGCATCAACTGTAATTTATAAATTACTGTATGTATGACCTTACATCATATCTATATAACTTCATGAGTCATAAATATAAAATGTTAGCAACTAGCGTTTTGTTTCCCTACCTCATGTTGTATTTCGATTGGAGGTTTAAAATAGAAGGGAAATTCTGCGTTGTATCGAATCTGTAAAAAATGATAAAGTAGGTAAGATGAAAAGTTTATTGTTAGTGGGCGTAGGAATCAGTAACACCAACGACATACCATTTAAATGTAGATTGACATAATGGATTTTTTGTGATCATCTTACCATTTTATTTTTCTGTCAACCTGTAATCACGAATTTCACAATTTTTTTATTGCATTCTATTAAACACCATATTTGATCGGGAGGTATTTGGAGATTACTTTAGATTATTGGTATTGGTCAATGAAATCTGGAAAACTACTAATGTTAAGAATGTGGTACCAAAGGTCCTTGATTTGACCTATGGTCAATTTTCGATAGATCAGTCTATTCCAACCGTCCACGAAATATTTATTTCAAATAAATGCATCCTTGATGGTGGTTAAAGGTAGTCAACAGGAAATCCTGCTACTTGGCACCTAGACTGGTTGCCAGTGACAAATGTTATATGCAACTTGAGCCTATGTAGAGTACTGAAATGTCTGAACCATAGGAATTTTCTAAATGATTAAGTCTGGCGTAATCCACTTGCATAAGAGAAAACATAGAATTCATATTCCACACCTAAAACCTAATTTAACTGATTAAAAAAAATTTATGTTCATTAAGATTGATTGTTTTTCATCTAGAATATTCATTCTTAATAAGTAAACTTTGATAAAATTACTGATAATATGAGTTGAGGAACCCCATAATAGGACAAACGTCCGTTCAGTGCTTTTAGGTTTTCCATGATGGTTTAACTTCAATTGGCTCATGACCTCAACTATTAAAATTGATAATTTATCGTTATAAAACGTATTTAAATATGTCTAGTTGTGTAAAATGGATTTACGCTACCTTTGAAGATAGATGTTTAATAGAAGATATTTATCAGGTCACTATAACCTTACCCATAATCTATCTGAAGTTTGTGCTAATGATGTCTTTCAGAAGAATGATGAAAACTCCACGACCAAACCATCCAACACAGAGAACAAAACTCCATCAAAATAATTTTGGGAATTATAACAGACAAGCAGAATAGTTTAAATTAATATTTATATCAAATACATTTATTGTAAATCAATCAATATGATGTACAATTTTTAGAGAAATATTCTTTTTTGCTTTTTATATTTCAACTTTTATTTAAACAATAGGGGCCTAAAGGTTTGAAAGGTGCTCAGGGTAGTTATGGATTCGATGGACTTGCTGGTGAAAGAGGTTTAAAAGGTCCAAAGGTAAAAGTTTCTTTTTTTCAACATAAAACATTTGTATTTTTTTGGGCACATATCTGCACATAAACTATTTATGAATATTTATGAAAGAATATGAATGGATAATACTAATAATGAAAATAAAAATTATTGCATAACTAAGTGTATGTATGTACAAAACAAGGAAACATAGCAGGACACTTATGTACATAGTTTAGCGGTCTTTATTCACCTATTATATCTAAAAGAGTGCCTTCTTCAAAAGTTATATCAATCTGATTCTTAAACATTTGATAAAGATAATTCCATAATGACCAGTATTTTCCTTACTTTTCCTCTTGTAGTTAACTACTTTAATTAATCATTAATAACCTATTGGGAAGTATTATATTTCACCTTATCGATTGTGCCACTTTACATTTATTTACTAATTCAAGTAATTTTTAATAATTTATAAATAATTATTTCAGGGTGATAAAGGGGAACCAGCTGTTGTTGAAGGCATCGATGGTATTGGAGAAATGGGACCTAAAGGTGAGAAAGGTGAACTTGGTCCAAAAGGTATTCGTGGCCGAGATGGAGCTAAAGGACAACCTGGTATAGCTGGTCCAAAAGGTTATCAAGTGAGTTGATGAACTGTATTTGAATTGATCATATGAGGTTAGTCTTTAAAAACTAAAAAACTTTCTAATTTTGATAGGGAAAACCACTCTCAAGTTTGTATTAAGTACAACTAATAGTTATATCAGTCTGAGATTTTACAAACTACTATAAACTCTTATATCTATCCCATTTATACAACTAAATCTAACTGACATCTCGAGATTGTCTGTATTTAAATTTGAGGATGATACGAATTTTATCTTTATTCCTCACAGTTGATTAGCCTTTTTCCAACAAAAAAACTCCAAACATGAAATCGCCCAGTGATGGTTGCAGATAAAATCGGATTCATAAAATAGTCCTACAAATAAAAAAAAGCTATACTACTGAAAGAAGTTGACTTTAATCTGACCAAATTTTTATTATCAGTATTCTATTCGCCTGTGTCATATAATTCCATCTAGATAGTTTCAATTTATCTGCTCTCTAATGATGATATTATGGAAAAATGTCCAATTCTAACTGAATACCGAAGTGAATTCATGTTGCATATTCAACAATGATTATCCTATTATGGATGTTTGATTATCATGATTGGCAAATCTCCCCTACTTATAAATGATGATTGTAAATCAGAGAACTATGTTGAATGCTGACAGTTTTAAAGTCTAAATTCATGTCAACATACATATATTTATAAACATTTTTTTTCTTAGTATCAGACTATATGAGTAAAGTTCGCATTCTAATGATTGTAAATGGCAAAATTTTGCATTTGCTAGCATTATCTTGAAATTTTCTTAACGTTTATTATTTTTTCTTTAATTATTTAATTTTCTAAAGGGAATAAAAGGAGATCGTGGTGAACCAGGCTTAAAGGGTGAAAAAGGGGATACTCCTTCACCAATTTCTCTACCATATGTAAGTATGTATTGTTATAACTTGTCGTTTGAATGCTTAATGTCTTGGCTCTTTTAATGCTACATTTTGTATCTGGTCGTTGTTGATTGTTATATCGGAAACACTTATCACTTATACTAGGAGCGAGGGACCTCTGCAATTCCCACGACGCGAAAGTAAGAACATAAAGACTGGTATAAGTGATGATTTATTAACCCCAAAACACGACGACGACTCTAGTAAAAAATACATTCATTTATATACTGATTGTACACCCATTTTGATTAATAATTAGGACGAAACCACATATATGAAAAATAACCAGAGTTATAACAAATCACATAATGAGCATAGTCCATGTCAATGGAATACAAGAATATCGCACATTATACAGAATAAAATATTATACGAGAAAAGAAAACAAATAATACATTGAGTCACCATTACATTGAATCAAAACGGAATTAATCTTAAACTAAACTCATAAGGAGTAAATCAATCGAAAATTGACTTTTCTTTCCATCATATAAAACATATTTTATTGTCACTTATAACCACACATTTACACTGAAATAAATAAACCTATATCTTATACTTTATTTGTGTTTTCATTTCTAAATGCCACTAAATTTTCCTAACCTGGGAAATAAATGACATTCTAGAACCTGGGAAAAGTAGTATTTAATATTTACTGTAATTTATATTATAATTTACTGTTATTGGGTGAATAGTCAGGAAAATATATTTTAATTTTATACTACCTATAAATTTTCAGTAACATAATATGTAACTTGAAATTCAACCCCTTTCCGTGTCCAAATGAATAATTCATTTTCTGTGATTTCAGGCAGAGCCGGGTGAGAAAGGATTCAAAGGTGAAAAAGGGATATCTTATGATGAATCAGCTTTAATCAAAGGACAGAGGTTGGTACCTGTTTTCATTACAATGTACTGGATAAGAAGTGTTTTGAAAATTTAAATACTATTCATTTATATGACATAAGTATCAGATTTAAAAGTGATCATATCAACTAATGAACATATTGTTTATTTGCTATTAAGCTCATTATGGATGAATTCCGAGTGATTCATTTCAGATAAACGAATAATCCAAACCAGTTCTCTAGATTGGGAATTACAGAACTTGGTGAAAATATGTTACGAAATTTCTATGATGTTAGCTTGTGAAATAAAAATATTCATGATGAGACGTCTAACAACTTTAGTTGAAAACTGATGAAGTGATATTTTAAATAAACTTAACATAACCACGAACATTTTTTTGTTTTATTTTTTGATGAAGAATTGGGGTTAAGGGTTTAAAAGGGCTTCCTGGTCCACGCGGTGATCCAGGTGATGAAGGTCCTCCAGGTCCACGAGTAAGTTTTCTACACATACTTTCACACAGATATATTCATTGTTGTTGTACTTTGGATGTATATTTTGTGCATTTACGTATTGAACGTGATAGACTTAACTGTCTGTGAACTGTTTGCTTTTTATACTTCCTACTTTTGAAACTAGTAAATAGTGATAAAATGAAAATGATTTACGACTCCATATTAAGCTACACGAATGCAAAATGAAACAGGAGTTAGTTTTTTCAAAAATAAGTGGTAAAAATAGCTAACCCTTTTAGACAAACGAAACTGGGAAAAATACGCGTTATTTTGGGATAACGTTTAAAAAATTCATTTATTATAATATAATATTAAGAACAAACATAAAATTCCTTGGTTTAATCCTTTAAAGAGTGGTAGGTGAGCATTCCTGAATTTCATTAGTAGTAAGTAGCTGGTTATCTAGTCAAACCAACTCATAGTTTGATCTGTGTATTGACTGCTCAGTAATAAAGAAGAGTTATCAGTAAGAACGGTGAGAAATTAAATATTAAGCCAAAAGATATTAATGAAGAAAATCACTAGTATATAGCCTCGTTGACATAATCCTTGTCAATTATTTTACTAAGTAATGCTGATCAATATCTAACGAATAATCATTTACTAAACAAATATAGACGTTAATGTTCAAGATAAAATACTTACTGTAAATAATTTTTATTTTTTTATTTTTTGTTAGGGCAGTCCAGGAATAAATGGCGTGCCTGGAACTCCAGGTCCTGTAGGTGATGAAGGTGCAATGGTAAGTGTTTTCTTCTTTTGAATAAGAGAGATTTCAAGTTTTTCTCTTTTTTCCTCAGTTAATAATCATCAGTGAAAATGTCATTCAAGGTCTTATTAGGATAAATCGCAAGCAACATTAAGTATCTGACATTAACCAGGTGTCTACACAAGCGGTTACAAAGGCTAACTCAGCCAAATTAAAGGATCAATGTATCAATTAGACTTTAATATCAAATCCTATTGATAGTTCAACTTAAATTGGAAACTTCGGTTAGACCGATCCAAATGGAAGGTTTACCAAAACATTTACGATTATGATTTACGGTTGCGTAACGTTTGAATTGGACATGGAGAAATCCTATCTATTAGAGTGTCCAAACAACTATTGAATTTTAACACTTCTATTAGTTTTTATTGAGTAACAGTATCATGTTGGTTGTGATAAACATGCTGCGATTACTCATCTATGGATAAAGATACATCTATAAACCCATACGATCCTATAGCTACACAATATGAGGCGATAACAAGCTATATTGATTAAATCTATACTCAGTTATAGAAACCCAACAATCACAATGTGTTTCGACGTAATTTGTAACAGTTTTTATGATCTACATCAATATAACTTTTATTAAAATAAAATTGTTACGGATATTCTGGCATTCTAAAGTGTGATTCATCATGTTAAAATTGGATTTATTTATCTTTTCGATTAGTTATAAATAAACTACCATCCATGTCAGATTAAACCAGGAAACAAGTAAATGACATCTACAAAATAAACTATTGCAACTGAAAGAAACATTACATCTGACAAAGTAGGTGCTCTCTTGATCTTCGTCTGCATGAACAACAACTAGTTGTCAAACGTCATGATTTATATTTGTTCATGTCAATTGTGGACACACATTCGACTAGAAAAATAGTGGGTTTTTTGATAGAGGTAATATGAAGATCAGAGAGATTTTGGTAGTTTGATATTATGGTTAATCAATAAACAATAAACACTTTGAAATCGATTCAGATTATCAACTAATTAGGCAAGTAATGAACAAATCAGGTTAGAGAAAGATAGAGATTGAGAAAATCAAGATAAATATCTAGACAATGACAGAATAAGTCAACAATAACCAATCAGGATCAATGTTGACAGGTCAGGGTGTCAATCATATGTGAAGAAATTCAAATAACTTACCTCTACCTGAAATTTGTGTTGATAATGTTGTTCATCATAACATTGTAAACTTCACTACCTAACCATCCAGTTGAGAGAATGAAAATTCACCAAAAGCAAAGGAAGAGCATTTGTAAAACTTTAGATGAGTGTTGGAATTTAATAAATTTTACTCTAGGTATTTATAAATAATCAACAATATTTGAAAGTGATTCAGAGTTCCTCATGGTTGCTGAGTTTTCACATTTACTCATCCCGAACTGACATTAGCTAAATCCTTTCTGTGAAAATTCTTGTGAAAACTCAGTAATATATGGGGCCATCCCAATTTTACGGAGATGAGCAATCACTAATAGCATAAAATGAGGATAGTGCCATTTAACAAATTGATTTTATTCAAAATGTGGACACTGGATTTAGATTCCCTAGGGAAACTGGAGGTCATGGCTTCATACTTTTATGAAGGTGTAGATATTCATTAGTGAGTAGTCCCAAATGTAGCAAACATCAATTAACCAGTCTTCTGCTATATTTTTTCTTTCGCCTGACATTAGTCAGTGACGAAAATTTTCTGTAAGCTATAATTATTTCTAAAAAAACGTCTTAGTAAATTACATGTATTCACAAATATCAATCAGTGACAGCCGGGTTTTCCTGAAAATAATTGTTTAGAATTCAGAGATAGTTTATTAAATAATGTATTTTCTTCTTTTAACGCAGGGAAAATTTGGAAAACCTGGTGCACCTGGTATACCTGGACCACCTGGAAGATTAGGCCAAGATGGCCTACCTGGACCTCCTGGACCAGCTGGTTTTCCTGGACCTAAAGGCGACAAAGGATATCCAGGGACTCAGGGACCTAAAGGTGAAAAGGTTGGTGGCAAGTTATTTTATGGGATTTAATGTATAAATATAAATTGTTTTTGTATTTTGTGAAATTATTATTATTATTATTATTATCACATAAGTCTCCATGCAGAGGAACTCAAATGTTTGATCAGCAATCCTATGTTTGACCATTATTAAAAGATGAAGCTATCATCTAGTTTACTGTACTATGGTAAAAGTGAGATAAGCATATTAAATACCCAACTTAATATACATTTCTCTAATTCAGTGATGCAATTGATACTTGTGAGTTTACGTAACCAGTATGTCTAGTGAATGTATTAAAATGAGTAAAACAGTTACATAACTGGATGAAATATTGTACTAAATAATTCAAGTAACAAGTATATATGCATACAGTTTCGACATATTGTGGCTTTAGTAAGAACACATATTCATTTTTGATAATGATTAGGATCTGTACATACTGACTGATACACGAATGAGTAAAGTATCTGATAAACACCTCATTAAAATAAATCTAAATTATTTTCAACTTGAACTAATGTAATTTTAGGGTGTAAAAGGTGAAACAACTGATGTGGACGCAATGCCTGGACCAGATGGAGATATTGGTGAACCAGGAGTAAAAGGTGATCGTGGTGATCCAGGTAAGAAACTTTCATTGAAACAATCTTTATTTATCAGACCATATATGATTAATCAAACACAAATAATTCTGTGACTATCGGGACTAGCTAACAAATATTCTGCAATTTCATGTATACAAATTAGTGTTGTTAATCTAAGTAAATCAACATTTATGAAACATCATTGAAATCATGAACCAAAAATTTACGTCACCACTGGAAACCTGGATGCACTAAGTGACCAATTCGTCCTAGTACGGGATTCTTCAACATCATGTGCCAACGATCTCACACACGCGACCCGTCCCAAGGACCATCGGCATAGCGCGTGAATACCTAACCCCAAGCCCACCGGACAGCAGTCCAATGGTGTTAATGTCTAATATCAACCAATCTATGACATTACCAAATTATTTTCCACTGTTATTAGTGGGTAACTGTCTCTCACCCATCAGAACTCAGGAACATCCCTCTAGAAGCTAGTCACTAGTGAACACATCATAATTACTAACATTGAGTTGTGGTGATTGTTGAATTTCATAGAAACCATGAACCAATCTAAGTCAAACCAATGGACTTCTACTCAGTGGTCTAGAGACTAGGCGTTCGCTCAAGTGATCAAAGATCCTAGGTTGGAATTCTGCATGCGAGGTCGTGAATGAGCATACCAGGATGAAATGACGGTCTAGTGCTTCCAGATTTCCAATTGTGGTTTAACTTAGATCGGTTCATGATTTCAAAGTCAAAGTCACCAATCTCTAGAACACAATACTAACATTCATGAAGTAAATATTGAGGTTTTGAGATAAAATGTCTAGGTAATTATTTTTTCCGATCGCTTTTCTTTTTTTAAACTAAAAAGACAATTAACTATTAACTTCAAATGATTAATTAAATTTCATGAGGTATTTTTAAATAACACTAAGTAAGTGATCATGGTGTGCGTTATAAATGGTATCAGATAATTCTAAACGATCATTAGATAAAACATAATATATATGTACTTATCTCAGTATGGATTAATGATCATTTATTATTATAATTAGCGTGTAAATTAAACTACTGTACTCCCTTATTATCAAAGACAGTCATGCATAGAATTTTAATTAGAAACATTCTAAATACTTGATTCAGATTTTCCATAATAATAACAGATTGTATTCCAAACATTGTTAATATGTAAATATTACAGACAAGTATTATGAATGAAACCATGTTAAATCAAACACTTTGGATATTTTATGTGTAGAATTTAACATTTAACTCTTTTAAGTAATAAAACTAAATATTATTTAAGGAAAAATTAGAACAAAGTGTTCTCTGTTAATTTCCACTTCTCAGTAGTTGCTGAATAAATAATAATTGATATAGATATCCAAGTATTATTTGTTCGATAATTAAATTTATGAGTCAGTTGAAGCTAGACTACCATGGAAAACCATGAAGTATTGGATGGCCGTTTCATCCTAGTATGGGACTCCTCAGCAGTGTGCATCCACGATCCCGTCCTGCCCCACAAAATCCCCTTCTGATAGTAAACATCATGTGTTCACTAGTGACTGGCTTCAAGAGGTATTTCCTGGAGTTTTAATGAGAAGCCGTGACCAATGGAGTTCAACCAGGTCTGTTGTGAGATAGTAACTCACTGAAGACAATGGTGGACGGTGGCTCAATTTCGTGGATTAGTTGAGTTTAGACATTAAAACCGTTGGATTCCGGCTCAGTGGTCTGGAGGTTAAACATTCGCTCACGAAACTGATAGATCCTCGGTTCGAATCTCGCGGGGCGGGATCGTGGATGCGCACTGATGAGAGGTCCCATACCAGGACGAAACGGCCGTCCAGAGCTTCCAGGTAGTCCAGCTCCAATTGACTCATGATCTCAACTATTGAAATCACTACAATCTCCACAAAACCCTTTCTGTTACAAAGAATTGTCATTACAATCTAACGTTATTTGAAAAAAATCGTTAAAAGCATAAGATCACTTACACAACTGTTTCTTTCTTGTTAATATATTATTTTGAATTATTTAATAGATTAAATTTTACATAATGATTACATGGTAGAATTAAAATTATATCAGAGTAATATACAATGAGTAAATTAAAAATAGATTTATCACTATGAGGTGAACGTACCACTCAATCGATAGAGTGACGATTATCGTCCTTAACTCATATGTGAATTCAAGTGATCACGTGAAATATAATACGTTTGTGAATATGCTAGTACCATCACTATTCTAGACTTTTCAGTGTAAATGAGAATTAGATCTAGAATCTTTAAAATTATTGCAGATTGATAAATTACGTGTCAATATGGACAATAAAAATATAAATACACTGAAAACCAAAACATGTATGAAAGTACAATAGTTTTGATCGCCCTATGATTACTATATTTTTTGGTAAGAAAATTTTATTCTCATATTTATTTCATAGGCCCTTATGGACCAAGAGGTTTACCCGGTGGACGTGGACCACGAGGAGACCCTGGACCTAAGGGTGATCCAGGTCCTGGATATGCACAAGTTATTATAGGTGAACCAGGAAGGAAAGGGGAAAAGGGTAAGAAGTCTGTGTCAGTCAAGTACTATTAATGTAATAACCAAATTATTTTAACTATTTAACTATTAAAACCTCATGAAATGTTAAAGTGATTGCCTATTTTATCCCCTTCCAGTTGCTTTCCATAGTAGTTCCTTCTCCATTGAGTAGATCATGAAAGGCCTGGAACTTATTGCTGAGGACTATCTTGAATTTGTTGTGTTTGTCAGTATCCCAGAGAAAAGCCGTATTAAACTTCTGTGATATTGTCCGCCCCGTTGTGCAGTGCTTCTTGAGTTTCAATTTGATCTTGGCGACCAGCAAGTGATGATCTGATGCTATATCAGCTCCTCTCTTGATTCTCACCTCTTCTATCGTCCTCCTGAACTTTTTGTTGGTGCAGGTATGGTCGATTTGGTTTTGCGTAGTGTGATCCGGTGAAGTCCATGTGATGTTGTGAATGCGCTTATGCGGGAATATAGTTACGCCCATGACCATTTTATTAAAGCCACATCGGTTTGTTAACCTCTCACCATTTTCGTTCCTTTCTCCCAGTCCGTTTCGTCCATTCCAACCTTGGCATTGAAATCTCCAATCCGAGTGGTCAAGTCCTTTGTTGGACACTTCTCGACGATTGACTGCAGCCTATCGTAGAATTGATCTTTAGCGTCTTCATTGTAGTCGTTGGTAAGCGCATAGCATTGGATGACGTTCATTGAAATGCCCTCTCTCTTTGTTTTGAAGGAGGTTTTGATGATCCTTGGTCCATGAGATTTCCATCCTATAAATGCATTTTGTGCTTGTTTGGACAACATCAATGCAACTCCTTGTGTATGTGGGGCATTTTCCTCATCATGACCAGAGTATAACAGAAGCTCCCGTGAAGCTAGTCGTTGTTGTCCAACTTGCGTCCAACATGTTCCGCTGGTCCCAAGCCCCTCTAGGTTGTATCTCCTCATTTCCGCAGCAATTTGGAAGACTCTCCCAGTCTCCCATATTGTACGAGCATTCCATGTACCTACATTAATGATTACTCTGGTTGTTAGAAGGGGTATCAGCATCGTGACTTCCGAAGGAACTCGGCTTTTATCATGAAGCGTTATAACTCTTCTAAATGAAGACCTGACTCCCAGGGCAGAGTTCAAATGATTCGAATTATTTTGTCTGGAATGAAGTCACTAACCCCACGCCCAACCCTCCTCCTTTATCCGGGCTTGGGACCGGCAGTAGCCCTCAGAGGGGCTCCAGGCAGAGTTGAATTTAGTATTTAGTTGCGGTGTTTTAATGGTCAAAAAGGATACTGTAATGTGGTTTCTTTTGTATCTTAATATTTCATTCGTTTAACAGTATAAAGGGTAATCGGCTAATTTGTCAAATGAAGACATGATATGTACATCTACTACAATTTTATCTCGAGAGCACATTTGTACATACTTTGAAGTGTATGTTGAGTATTTGGATCATATTTACACGTATCACAATTACCGTGTTGAAATTGTACTCCGTAATGGCAGTATAAGTGTTAAAAATATCAAAATACAGTTGGTAAAAAATCTGCTTAATTGACAACAGCTTTGTATTACGACGTTAAACCATTCTCACTACTTAAATAGTATTACCCTAAATAGGTAGTTGTATGTTTCAGACTCAATAGCTTTATGTATAAATTATTTTAGGTCTCCCAGGATTAGATGGAAAACGTGGAAAGACGGGACGACCTGGAATTCCTGGAATGAAAGGCGAAAAAGGTTTCCCTGGTCGAGAGGTATATGGAAGGAAAGGCGAAAAGGGTTCACGTGGATTTCCAGGACCCATTGGACCACCTGGTTAGTTATTTAGATTCACGTTTTGTACATGACATAAAGTTGGAAAACTAACTTTATGAATGTTTTTAACATGTTTTCAAATGAATTAATTTTCCTTCATCTTTTGTAGGTGATCGGGGAGCTACAGGTCTACCAGGTCCTATTGGTGACCAAGGGGAAATAGGCCCTAGTATTGACGGTCCTCCCGGGCCTAAAGGAGTTAAAGGTCAACCTGGTTTACCAGGTATACGTGGACGTGAGGGTGATCCTGGTCCTGTTGGAGAAAAAGGGGACTGCATTGTGTGTCCAGATGGAAGACCTGGTTTACAAGGGCCAAAAGGTTTTCGAGGTCAACCTGGAGTCCCTGGTGAACCAGGCTTGGATGGCTCTCCAGGACAAAAGGGATTACCTGGAGCCCAGGGACGAGATGGTCTTGTTGGGGTGCCTGGTCAAAAGGCATGTAATTTATTTTTGATGACATGAATTGGAATTTTCGTATTTCTAATGAGTCAGCATGTGAGCATTTCGGTACACATTTGGTACATGATAAATATTTCAAGATCAACTGACTGAGTTAATCTTATTGTTTGTTTAAAATAACATATGTTAGCTCAGTAAATTATTGACGGAAATGCATTTAAATGAAGTTGACATGTTTACTCGACTTACTAATACTTAATTGAGACACCGAGAAAGGATTCGCAGTGAACGTGTTATTCACTTTAAGTAGCCTACTGTTTCGGTGATACATCATGAAAATGACTGATCACATAATATTCTTGTTGTTCCGTTGTACTATTTAAATTTGGATTAATTTTGATTTGGTTATTTATTCTCTGAAGAAGTGGCTTAGACTGAGTCATGAAACGTCAGAAAATCTAATTTTCCTACTCATTGGAATATTATAAATATACTATTTATTTATAATAATCTACCCAATGCTCAGTCTATTCGAAATTATCAAGTTAAACCTTGGTAATGATACCTACATAATCATGAACTGTTTACAGTTATAGAAATTCAGTTTATTTAGGAAAAGATTGAGAGAAAAGGTTCATCATGTAATCAACCAAAGGGAACATATCCAAACTATTGTCAAAATGAATAAAGAAAATGATTAGGATTTGTAGTAAATAAAAAATAACAGTGAAGTAGTGGTGAAGGTATGATAGACCTATAATAAAGTAAAAACTTGAATAGCTATAGTTGGTGGAGGGGGGATTATATACTTTCGACATTATGTTGTAAATAATAAGATCATTTAGAATAATTCCTATAAAATAGACATGACAATGCAGCTAAAATAGACAATGGTGTCAATGTACTTAGGCGTAAATAAATGTAGAGGATGAGGAATGTTTGTAAGGTTTATGAGTCAATAATAAACATTATTGTGAAGATTCAAAGCATTATATTCAATATCCAAGGTAGTGCTAAATGTAATAAAACCTCTTTTCGAAATGAATAATCATTTCTTTTGAATGGCTTACCTATTTTTAATATGGCAATCACTTGGGAAGCCATAATTGGATCTATTATATGTCCTGTATTTACGATATTAAGGCAGTCTAAGTGTGGTATGTCACTTATATCGACAGTTATAAATAATATGTAACACCAATTGGAAGTTGAAACCCTGGCAGCAGAAGGATAAGAAGATCAAGTTGAAGAGAAAACAGAAACGGAAACAAAGGAATTAAGATCTGGAAGAATTATGCAGAATGTGAAAGACAAATGATGTAGTTTTGCAAATACAGTATTTAATGTATGATTCATATATTCTACCAAGAGATTCTGTAATTATGTGCTAATATGTATCTGGTCATCCTTAGTGTTTGGTCATTACATAAGGACACTAATCATCTAATCCTGTTGTGAAATTGCGGATTATGTATCCATGATAATTGACAATCACTGTTTTCTTTCCTGAAAATAGCACCTTTACAAATCAAATACGAAATGTGTGTTAATATTTTTTGAAAGTTGATAAATCTTTTTCATCTAGTTAGCTTCGTGGATGCTCATTTAACGAAATCCGATTTAGAGTGTCATTTTAAAGTTTATTTTATTTTAATAGGGTGAGAAAGGTGAACGTGGAAATGATGGTTCGCGTGGACCCAAAGGAGAACCAGGTCCTGTTGAAATAGTAAATGTCACTGTACCAGAAGCTCCACGTGGCGATGTTGGTCGTCCTGGTCGTGCTGGAGTAGTCGGTGAACAAGGTCCGAAAGGTTTTCCTGGTCCTAAAGGCTTGCCTGGGCCAGAAGGTCCTAAGGTAAGGCGTCGACGCCATAAAGCATAGTCATGTGGCTAGGATGTTTTAGATGCGAATGATCAGATTTATGCTCGCATTTCGCTACTTTACTGTTAAGGGTTGTTCTATTCCTATGGCTGTTTATTTATTACTAATACAAATCTGATTCAAAGAATAATGTAGTAAATTTTGGATTAAGTAAATGATCAATAAATCATCAAGTCTGATTTCATACTGTTTATGATATGACATCTATGCTCAGAATATTCAGTGAAGTTGCCATCCTCATCCTAGGTCTCAAATATCTCCCAATGGAGCCTACGGTGCTTAAGATTTCCTGAATGCTACTTTATAAAGTACAGACATTCTATCAAATTTATTACTGTAGGTCAAAACTGAGTTGTAGACTTTATACAAACACTAGTCAATATTTGAACGAAAAGTTTAACAGAAACCGGGCGCCAAGTGTATAGAAGACATTGTTTTGGAAATTGTGTTTGAAATAATCTCAGCGATCAAAACTTAAACAGTAATTGGATAAGCACTTAGGATAGATTTGATTTGGTTGTTGAACATGATATATTCTTTAATAAATTTGCCCTTGATTATTAACTTGAAGAAGCCCATACGAAACTTCGGAATTACTATAATCTAATCCCTGAGCTTATTTCAAACACAACTTTCACAAATAGTGAATTGTAGACTCATAAAAAACATTTTTATCCAGATAACCACACTTTTTCATGTTGTAACGTTTGCCCGGTTAATATATCACGTGTTAAGGTAACCAATCAGAACATGACATATACAGTCTTCATACTGTCACAACACTAAAGTGTTGACTGGTATAAGCAGCATACAGTCCTTATTGATCCTCTCCCTGCCTAGGCCTGCTTATTCAGTCCAGAACCTCAATAACAGCTTCAACTGTTTGAGTCGTATATTTCAAACATACCTGGTTTTATATACAAGTCAACCAGACATCATACCATAAAATAGAAAATAACAATTGTACAAGATCAAGCCAAAAAGTGGCTGTGAGACTGTAATTAATAAAAATGGGTACAACTTGAGTAAATCCCGTAATAATAGTCTTTAGGTCAAAATAAAGCTTATGATAAGAGAAATATGACTATACATAATCTGGCTACTCAGCAGTTATACAATAAGAATGTATGCATAATATTAGTCCATTCGTAGCTCTCAGAAGTTACTCATAACTTGATCTTCGCTAGGATATAGCAGTTCATACTGCAGCATAGCACCTTGGTCGCATATGGTAATAAGGCGAATAATGTGAGAGGAGTGACTGATTAATTTCTAATTAGACTGTATTTGGTCTCTGAAAATAAATGAAAAATTTATAACATAATACTTTTACTCCGTACATTTGAATTTTATTTATGAAGCTTAATCCATGATAGTCATTCAGCATACTCATAAGTATAATCAACAATGATGTACTCAGGTGATTTTTTGAACCATCAAGATCAATAACTTTTAATTTCTATCTCGATCATTTTGTTCATAAAGGGCGATGGTGGACTACCAGGGTTACCAGGATTTAGTGGAACAGTAGGAAAGCCTGGAAGACGTGGTGAACCAGGTCGTGATGGAATTGTATTCGATGCACAAAAAGGAGCTCCGGGTATTCCTGGCAGAGATGGCATTAAGGGTGAGAAAGGAGAAAAAGGAGACAGAGGCAAGTAAATCTTAACACACATGAATTAACCGATTCCCATGATATATATATATATATATATATTCAGTAGTCAATTGGGTCTTTTCCTATTACCAAGTAATAACTGTACATATTACCTTTAAAACGACAGTTTAATTTATGAAATAATGGAGAAGACCTTTAGCTCCAGAGAGTGCTTTTAGTGACGTCGCATTTTGTTGGATAGATGGTTGAATTGGAAAAATTGTGTTGTTATTCCGAACAACATTATCAGCGTCTAATGAACCTGGAAACCAGTTTTATAATTAATCCACCAGTGCTAAATATCTCAGTTTTGGTGGCCTTGTTTGTGATTGATTGTCATCACATGTTTTGTAATATTTTTATTTCACACTTTCATTGACTGTCTCATAGGTTTACCTCTACCTATACGAGTGATTAAACTTTTCAATATGGATTGACAAACCGCGTCAATGTAGACATGTTTATCGACTGACTATTGATGTGGCATCGGTGGTATTTTTAGGATCTTCACTGTCCAAAATCTCGATGTTAACCTAAACAACTTCTTGTCTGTTTTGACTGAATGCACTAAATATTATCTTGTTTCCTTGTTAGTCTATGTTAACATTGTCCCATATAGTGTTTCTCCTAGTCGGTACAATTTCTTGCGCAAATGATATTATACTTCCTCAGCTGATTTGTCCTTCGGATTCCATAAGTTTTGTAATGATCTCAGAGATGTTTTTTCACATCATATGACTTTCTGATTTCCCAGTATAGTCTAAATTAAAGTACAGAAAAATCAAAATCATTTTTTATAGAAATATTATATCACATTCTTATTTGCATATTGCTCCTTTATTTAGGAATGGATAATATTGTTGATCAACTATTCGAGTATGTTAAAGGTGAAACCGGTCCAAAAGGATACCCAGGGGATAAAGGATTATCAGGATTCCCAGGAGAAAAAGGTACTTCTTTCTTGGCATAATTTTCAAATTGAATATTGATTCTCAGTTACGTAATCCTATGATTGAGTTTATACTAAGTGATTGTGTAGATGAGTTGATAGCTGAATAGTTTATTAATAAACCATTTACACAAATGCACAGTATTACACATCTCTCAGAGCAATAAACTGATTCACTGTTATGTTTTAATTTCTATTACCGTTTGCTTACTAATTTTATACATCTAGCAATACAAAAATTTAGAAGAGAAGAATGAAACTGTCTCTTTAATTAACGTATAACCATAATGCCGAAGTTATGCTTCACTTCACTTACTAATAACCTTACAACTAACCACAATATTTACCACACATATACTGAACGATCAATGCTTTAGAAAATCTGATGTTAAAATGTTATTCCTTTTTATATTGTAAACTTCACTGACATTGCCTCATTGTCTTATAACACAATAGTTCGTATCATTAGTACTATTTTTAGAATAACAATCTTTTTACTCATTACTAAATGTTTAGCATTGATGTGATTCTGTATGCCAACAATAAGATTAAATGTTTGATTTTTATGTTTAATTATATACCATTATGTAAGTTCTTTAATTAGTGCATACTTTCAAATGTCTCATTAAAACAAAAAATGCTAAACTAACAATGATTGTGTAATAGTTCTGGTCAATCAGTTTGTAATTTGTGAGTACATTTAAAACAATGTGGTTTTAACGTAAAATGATCAGAAAATTGACTTTTATCAATGATGTATATTAACAAAGTTTTGTCATATTCTAGAAATCAGAACAGCCAATAATAATAATTGACTAGAAAGTGCAGAAGACAATCATTTACGATGAATATCATTGACTACATAGAGATCATTTGTGAATTAACTGGCAATTTATGTACATACAAACGAATTTATATTCAAGAACCCCTATGTAATATTTTGAATATTTTGAATAGCATACTCAGTAGAGTTGAGCTTGTAATTCAAGACAAATAAGGAAGTGTTTTGAATACTCTCTAATAATAGATAGGTCCAAAGTGAATACATAGAACTAGGGTGTTACTATTAACTATACGTTAGTAATGCCTAAACCTTCAATCAGATATTTGTAAGTACATAGATACACCATAGTGCTACTGATCTAGCTTATACGTTTTTGAAAAAAACACTATTTGATAGTTAGATACAATAAGTTAGTTTTAATTTGCGACAACGAGAATCAGTACTTCAAACTGTCAAGATTAAATGTGATAGCTTTTATTAAAACTGATCCCTAAAACCATAAAATGAATCTTGTGGACTGACTTAAATGTAATACACGGCCTTTTATTAAATTTCTCCTAACTGATAGTTTTAACTGAAGTCATGCCTACACTGATTATAGTTTCAAAAAACTTCAGGATTCATTAAAAATAAATACATTTCGTTTATTATCTAAGAGTTACAATAACAACGATATTTACTTAGTGTTATACAGATGATTGAAACCGTTCTGATGTCGCAAGTGAATTTGAACATGACAATTAATATTGTGTTTACGAGGCAAGAAAGGTGTATATTTGGTCACGCGATACTGAAAAGAGAAAAATTATAGGAATTATATTTAAGTGTGTATTTAAGTGTGATCTTTAAAATATTTCGTACTTTGTTTTTATTTTATAGGTAGAGAAGGTGAGAAAGGAATTGCTGGAATACCTGGAAAACAGGGGAAACCAGGTTTTCCTGGTCTACCAGGAGCTGCAGGTGAACGGGGCGACAAAGGTTTAATGGGTCCCAAAGGACCGAGAGGTATTCCAGGTCCACCAGGAGAACCAGGAAGAAAGGGAATAAAAGGTCTGATTGGGCCAAAAGGTCTTCCTGGAACTGCTGGTGATATAGGTGAACGAGGTCCATCTGGTCTACCCGGTTCCTCAGCGATCGGAGAAAAAGGTGAGGAAGGTGCACCAGGACTACCCGGTCTTCCAGGTAGAAAAGGGGTTCCGGGTATTAAAGGTGAAAAAGGAGACAGGGGAGTTGATGGATTACCAGGATTGGATGGTCCAAAAGGTGAAATGGGTGATCGAGGACCTAAGGGGGAAACTGGAGAGCCGGGTGAAGTCTATCAAGGAATGAAAGGGCCAAAAGGTATAAAAGGTGAAACTGGTCTTCCTGGTGTCGATGGCCCTAAAGGAGATCCAGGAGAAGACAGATTCCCTACAATTGCAATGAAGGGCCTTCCTGGTCCACCAGGACCTCGTGGACCTGAAGGGCCGAAAGGTTTACCTGGAAACACAGGGTTACCTGGAAAAGTTGGTCCTAGTGGACCTAGTGGAGCACCTGGGTCTCCTGGTGAAAAAGGTGATGCTGGCCTACCTGGAACATTTGGCCCCAAGGGGTTGCTTGGAGAACCTGGAGATGATGGTGTAGAAGGGCCGAGGGGTGAAACTGGTGATGAGGGGCCAAGAGGTCTTCCTGGATCACCAGGACCTAAAGGACTACCTGGTTTAATGGGTCCTAAAGGACTTCCAGGAGAACCGGGAGGGAGAGGAGTTGGAATTAAAGGACAAAAAGGTTTACCAGGACTCAAAGGCAAGTAATTATTACTTTCGTAAAACAGTGTATCTAGTACATTTTGCCATTTATTTCGAAATATTTTTGGTGATATAGTATGAAATGATTTGTGTGATAAGTAGAGGAATGTTTATTAAGTACAACCTTTTTAATGACACGAAACTACAATGAAAACAAAATCATAACTATTTTTATTTGAGTATACTTAACTTTTGGTCGATTGTAACAAAAAATGGTAATAAATCGTTATTGAGATGAAGGTATCAACTTACTGGATATCGAACTATAATAATTGTGAGTAAATTCACTATGCTATTGGAACTAAAATGAATTTACAACGATTTATTCTAAATTATATTAATTATAGTCAAGTTATCATATGGTATTCCTTTATATTCTGAAATATCTCAATAATTTCAATCAAAGATGGATAGTGGCTAGCAGTGGAATTCAGGAAGCGCGTTTCGTCCCACTTAGGACTCATCAATTGGATGTACCTACATCTGAGTTGATGTTCACTTTGGTACTGGGACCCAGTACAGTTCACTTCAAACGCCATCGCGTTATCCACTTATCTACTGAGTCCTGATCGACACATGCTTGTGAAGTGGGGCAAAGTTATATTCACTTGGTATTGTTTACTTGTATCTGCAATTGATCAGTCTCTTGTCGACATATGTGCATCCTGTGGGGACTGCCTCGATAATGCCTGAAGTCACAAGCTTTATAAGCAAAGGTGGATTACATTGCATGTGCGAAATTGAACTAATTTATTTTTTGGATCGTTTAATTTAGACATGATTATATTTACTATAGGTTAATAACAGTGAACAGTTGACCAACTTTTAATGATATCTAATATAAAAGGTTTAAAACAACAGAAATACAACATGAACTAACTAACTGACTTAAATAGTAAAGCATCTGATTCATAATTTTATAAGAAGTCGTTCACTTTGTTTCATAGTTTAGTCAACTAATTAGATGATACAGCTGAGCCGATGTAATACTATAAGTAAAATGGATTTGTATTGAGAGTAGACGAATCGACAGCAAATATAATTGTCTCCCCCCTCCCCCTGAATCTTATGTATCACCTATCTACAAAATAACAGTAAACACAGATTAACCTGTGATTGAGAAGAATTGATATTTAGGAAAAATATTACCTTCTAGAAACATTTTAAAGTAATATAAAACTGTTATAAGAAAGTGGCAAAACGGATTATGGCGATTAGTTCAATAGACGAATGAACTGTACGACAAGATTATCTGAACCACGTAACAGCACAAGTTAAAATCTAAAGTAGAAAAATTAGTAAAACTATTCTTTACCAACCGATAAATGAGATAAAATGACTTCAATTTTTTGCACAAAATTTAAAACGACGTGATACCTCGCATTTGCTTTATTAAGAGCTGAGTAAAACTTACAAATATTAAGTTCTTAAGTGGCTTAAAATTGGTATTCATATTTGTTGTTCAACTATACAGTGAACATGAAGTGGTGAGAAAGCTAAATTACAAGTAACACCTGTTCCTGAATAAACAATCATACAGTGAGCATATTTTAAGGTATTTAGGGTTTATCCAATGGTGTATGTAGGGTGTTGCTCAAGATACATCGTACAAAAAGACATCACTGATATATAAATCCGACTTTATTCTTTTGATTATTTATAATAAATAATCCATGCATTTAACATTTCATGTCAGATAACTCGGTAAAATTTTACAGTCTCTTAAAGTTGCTGGTAAAGTATATTTTCACAAAACAAACTTCTACCACTATGGTAATTGACCTAAAGTGTTTTTTTTAGATTTAGTTGCTTCAGGTACTTTGAACATTTACTTTCATATCATTATAGGTATAAAAGGTTTCCCAGGTGAACCAGGAGATGATGGAATACCTGGAAATAAAGGTCTTCCAGGTCTAGCCGGAGTAGCCGAAAAAGGTGAGAAAGGTGAAAAAGGATTAAAAGGTGCTCAAGGACTACCAGGAATAAAGGGTAAACCAGGTCAAATGGGTCCATTAGGAGAGACCGGTGACCCTGGTCCTACTGGCCCCATTGGTGAAAAAGGCGATCATGGAGTGCCTGGTCCAGCTGGTCGTCCTGGTCGAAATGGCATAGTCGGTGAGCCTGGTGATTTAGGACCAAGAGGACTACCAGGGCTGCCTGGACCATTGGTAAGATGTTCTGGTTTATTCTCTTGTCATCCTTACGATGTCTTGTTTATTGAGACAAATTTCTATGTCCTGATATGTACTGACCAATTGATTGTTGGACCAATAAAATACAAGTTATTTCTGCTTACATTTGGTTTTAGGTTACTTTTTCATATATTGACTATTTTCAAGTTGATTATAGAGGCATTATGCGAATTGTTATGTAGATATTCACATTTTGCTGTAAACGGAGTATGATTGAATCACTTATTAGTCAGGGTTCCTGTATTATAAGAGTCCAGATATGTGAACAAAGCCTAAAAGATAATTTGGATCCTATCTCTGAGGCAAAAAACAAACACTTGGCAATAAACAATTTATTGATTTCTAGAAAGTGTGGTTCACTTGTAAATATTACAAAAAATCATTCATTGGTTTCAACTAAAAGTAAGATTAAGGGAGACTTACTTGTTTACAGGTATCACATCTCAATTTATTGAATTTCAGATTTCATTGATTTGGTTACACTTTTTTACATCAGAAATATAATTGTTTTATAATACACGAAACCTTATGCTCTTTATATTCAATCATAAAATGAATGCAAAATTTTCTTTTTTCTAGAACATTAGAAAGTCATTTTTAAAGTTAGATTTTAATTAGCACAAGATTATTTAACCGAACTCTTTAGGTGCTTTAGTTTTCACCATGAATTTTCATTGTATAAACAAATGGTTTATTAACCATAACTAGATTATTTCTATTTTATAATAACTCGATCTCACGATGATAATAAAGGTTTTTACTAGACATTCACTAAGTGCATCATAGAAGTAGTTTGTATAGATGGTGTTTTCAAATATTAACATTGATGTTTTTTTTGCTTTTTAATATAGTACGAACTATTAAATTACTGAGAATAAATCTGATTCACAAGATATTGTTATTTACTTTACATATTTTAGGGCGATAAAGGTGAAAAGGGCTTACGCGGTACAACTGATCGATTAGCAGATGTTGGATCAAAAGGTGAAAAAGGTCAACCTGGTGTAGTAGGTCCACCTGGACCTAAAGGTTTACAAGGTCCAAAAGGTGATCAGGGAGTTCAGGGGATATCTGGCAAAGATGGACTACCCGGTCAACCAGGACCTGTGGGTCCAAAGGGAGAAAAAGGTGTACCCGGACCACCAGGACCAAGAGGAACTGAGGGGCAACCAGGTTTAAAAGGTCCTAAGGGATTTGTCGGCCCTAAAGGATTTCCGGGATCAGTTGGTAAGTTCGAGAAATATAATGGTCAACATTTCAGATCACTGACTGTATGTGACTAATGTCTAAAATTTTTTCATTTTGCTTCTTCTTATAATAAACATTAAAAATGTCTTTCAAAAACATTTTCGTTTACTTTTGTTTACACTAGGTCCTCCCGGAGAACGTGGTCCAACCGGAGACCGAGGTGAATTGTCAAGATCCCCAGTCGGACCAAAAGGTGAACGTGGTTTACTTGGACCACCTGGGTCCGTGGGTCGCAAAGGTGAGCCCGGGGAACCCGGAATGAGAGGAGCTCCAGGCGAAGTGGGTGAACCCGGTCCAGATTTACTTGGAGCACCTGGGGAGAAAGGAAGTCCTGGGCCTACAGGTAGACCTGGGGTCCCCGGGATGAGAGGACCTAAAGGAATCAAAGGTGTTTCACCTCGAGAGCCTGGTGAACCTGGTCCAAGAGGCGCTGACGGACCCCCAGGTATTAAAGGAGAACGTGGCCCTAAAGGGTTTGATGGATCAATTGGTAGAAAAGTAAGCTGAGAAGGGATTGATTCTTACACGTTGGTGTAACTTGGCGAGATTTTTGTTGCACATGTCCAGTTTAACACGATTTGTGTGTATACATAATTAACTTTTTAGCTAAATACCCACAAGATTTTATATTATAAATTGTCCTAGCGCCAAAATTCTAGTCAGTTTATATTATTACATTTAATAAAATTCAAGAAATACTTATGGAGTACATTTTCCCATTCAGGTTCGTTAATAGTAACCTAGATTCAAAACGTCAGTTAGAAAATAACTTCCACAATTCCCAAGACAGTTTTGTTCGTAATTATTTAATTCGAACAGGATGCGGTAGCAGAGATGCTGAATGGTAGAATTTCTAGATCCTAGAGAAGGACTTTTCATTTCACAGAGCTCTTCATCATTCCCCCATTAAGTACCTCATTCTTTGAAGTAAAGAGCATAGATTCTCGCTTTAACCCACTTAATTATCCACTTGTCAATTCACTTATTCTTGTGTAACAAACTATATTGGCTTACAAAATGTTCACCTACTAAACGAATATCCAAAACACTATAGACTATTAATATTCAATATTTATGAATGTGTTGACTATCTTTGATAACAATACATCACTACTTTATAATTAAATATTACCATATTCAAGATTAAATATAAATGCGATTCTAAAGTTTAAGAAAATATCGTGGAAAAGAATACTCTCTTTACTGAGCTGCATCGCTTTCAATAAAATATATATTTCAGCTTTTAAGAATATATGACTACTAATTGTTAGGTATGCAGAGGAATATACCAATAATTATCGTGTCAAGTCTAATGGTGTCCTTGGACGTTAAATGTACACTCCCTATTGGTCGGTATTTATTTCACTTGTTAAATATTGTATAAATGTTGTTTTCTATTTTTCTGGTACGATGTGGTCTGTTTGATTAGTATACAAACAGAGTATGTTTGAAATATAAAGATTCATATCTCAGAGGCAGTGACTTGCGTTCTGGACTCAACTGGCTGGGCTAGACAAGGACGCGGGACCAATCGAGACTTTAGGTCGTTCATTACGTGTTTTACGTGTCATTGATCCGATCAATAAAACGCTGCTATCTAAACCTGCAATCCGCACTTTACAACACTAATATAAGATAACTCATAAATAATGAAAGCATTGAGATTCTTTTATATTCTAATCTCCAATTTACATATATAAAACTTATATTGACTATCAAACCCAGAATTAAATTTTCCTATTCAAGTAATACTTTGAGTATTTTTGAAAGGGGAAGAATATTTCCTCAACATAATAATTAATGTATCGCAAAATTTGTAATAAACACCTATTTTATAAATTATTTCTCATATTTTCTTTGTTCAGTTGTATAAATAGTTAAATTATGAAGTTAAAAGGTGTAATTGTATAACGTTATCTTTTAAAAAGGGATTACCAGGTTTAAAAGGTGAACAAGGTACTAAAGGATTCCCAGGTCAAACAGGTAGACCAGGTGAAGTCGGCGAGAAAGGTGACAGAGGACCTACGGGACTTCCAGGGGATAAAGGCAGTAAAGGAATAAAGGGTGAAATAGGCCGACCGGGATTACAAGGTCCCAGAGGTGATGCTGCGGTCTCTGTTTTGGGACTAAAAGGCGAAAAAGGGATACGAGGAGATGATGGCTTTATGGGTCCCAAAGGTTTACCAGGAATCGATGGAGTTCCTGGAGCTCCCGGCCCAAGAGGTGAACCTGGGGATGTCGGAGAACCATCAGCAGTAGGTCCAAAAGGCTACCCAGGTCCCCCGGGTGAGAAGGGCTATATGGGTCCAGAAGGACCAAAAGGTGATGTTGGTCCAGTTGGAGAACAAGGAGCGCCAGGAGGCATTGGAGACACACGTGGTAACACAGGACACTTATTCACTGTGTGAGTTAAAACGTACTACTTCGTGTTTTATGTGTTTTTAAACTAAAGTAATACGTTGATCAATATTTATAACAATCGTGAAACTGTTATTAGCAGTAGTCGAAGATTTTCTTATATGAGGGATAGCTTTGAGTGTTTTAAAAATGCGCGTTTCCAAGGTTATTAAAAAGATAAATGAAACACTGACCAGTAGATGATGTTCAATGAAATAGTGTGTCCAACTGATAACTGCCCAGAAGACCGAGTTATTTACTCAAAGTCACAATTGAACTGGTATCAAAGGCTAAAACAATTAGCTATCAAGTTATATTTTTTACTACAATGAAATGTTATATTTATATTTAAAACATTAAACATAAATGTATGTTTAGATATCACCTAAGAAGTAAATGGTTAGAAGATATGGATTTGATAGATCACTTACACACTGATAAAATCAAGGCTATGCTACTAAACCTTGACAATTATTCCAAATTCAGTATCATTAGATTTTGATTGTGCCCGTCAACTTCTTTTATTCCATCAGAGATCAACGTGTTGGCTTAATTTTTAATTCTAATCATCCATTTCAATTGGTGAATTCAATTTTCTTTCTCTAATCATATCGCCTGAAAATTGATATAACGACCAATTCAGTGTAAACATGGACCACACAATGGAAGTATGAACACTGCAATCAAAATATCATCATTTCTTGTCAACTGCATACAAAAATATGTGTGTACATACATATATTCTTGGTTCGATCCCTGCTGGAATGATGTGTTTTGCTGAGTTTCATACTAGGACAAAACAGCTATCGATTGCTTCTTGGTTTTCTATGTACCTCGTCAGATGATAATACATGATGAAAATAATGTTCAAGGTAGAGTAGGACAAACTCTAATCTAAAAATATATAGATTACAATAATAAACTACAAGTCAATACTAGTAAACAAGCTTTATTGGTAAACGCATACATATTAATACAATGAAAACCAAAGTCGTAGTTGTAGAATTGTATCTCAACACTGAGACATGAAACGAAGTTTATTTACACAATAAATAAATAAATAAAATATCATGCATGTTATTATATTCAAAGATAATCATTAGAATTAAGATGACTCGTTCAAATGTGTATCTAATGTTTTATGAATACCGGACTTGTACAAACTCGTTTTAAATTGATTACACAAAAATTACCCATTATGTTTATGATCCACTACAACTACTACTATAGTTGTTATAATTCTACAAACAAACAAGTTCATGGTATCAACTCAGTTGTTCCTCATGAGACTTGAATCTGTAGCGCCCTGTGTCATATTGAAACATGATCGATAAAAATAAATAATATATTTGTGATATCCCAATGAGTAGAAAAATTAGATTTTCCGACGTTTCGTGACTTAGTGTAAGCCACTCCTTCAGAGAATAAATAACCAAACTTGGATTAGTTTTAACCTGGTTATTTATTCTCTGAAGAAGTGGCTTACACTAAGTCATGAAACGTCGGAAAATCTAATTTTTCTACTCAGTGGGATATTACAAATATATTACTTTTATTCATAACAATCTACCCAATGCTCAATGTATTCGAAATTATCAAATGATTGATAAAAATTCAGAAATTCATTACAGTAAACTTCAACGAAAAATGTTTGAATAAATATTAAACTAATCAGTGATACTTAATTTCAAATTTCAGTCATAGTCAGACTACACGCATCCCGTCATGTCCATCATCAACTCGTAAATTATGGGATGGTTATTCATTTCTAAGTATGACTGGATCGGATCGTGCTCATGTCAATGATCTGGCTAGTCCTGGTTCATGTCTACAATTATTTAATCCAATACCATTTATGTTTTGCGAAAAACAAGAAAATTGTTATTATGCTCAACGAAATGATCGAAGCTATTGGCTAAGTACAGAAGAAGAACCAATGATGTGGAATCCAGTTCCAGCAAATGAAACTCAAAGACATATAAGTCGATGTGCAGTTTGTGAAGCTCCTAGTAAAGTGAGTTATGCTCAACAACACATATTACTATTTCTGTTTTGTTATAATATAATTTTACCTCTGTTCTGTATGTTGAAATTCAGGTCCCTGTTTTATTTGCGAAGTTTGTTTAGTGTTATACTTAATACTCTAAAACAAACTTTAGAAAATACTTCATGAGGATTAGTGTTTTCGGATAGCTGAATTAAACTAGAAACATCCTAGCTGAATGTTAAACTAGCATCGTATGCTTTTCATTCCAGGCAACAGATTAATACATAATAGCTCTGGACAATCTAAACCCATATTACCCTATTCTAGATTATGTTAGTAATTAACTAAATAAATCAGATGTGTTACATATTTTAGTTTTTGTTTAGGTTGTAAATTCTGTTGTGTATATTTTTATATAGTGTAACTGTTCTCATATGATAAGTCTGAATGACAAGTTGATGGATTAGTATGTCCTATAACAAAAATAAAGCGAAATTATTTTTGGAATTTTATTCAAATCTCTTTATCAGTATAGGGGTTGTAGAGATTATTAAGTTTTTGGCTGAGATCGTGAACCGATTGATGTTAGACCACCACTGAAAACCTGGAAGCACTGGACGGAATCGTGGATGCGCACTGCTGAGGAGTTCCATAATAGGACGAAACGGCCGTCCAGTTCTTCCACGTTTTCAGTGGTAGCCTAACACCAATCGGTTCATGATTCCAATCAAAAACTTAAATCTTTTCGCCTATGAAGTATAGTTTTTTCTCCATATATACTACGTTTTCAATTCCTTTTCTATTCAGTTCTGTAATGCATTAATCAATTACCGTCAAATCACTTTTAATCACTAAATTCTTAGGACAATCTAAGGCATTCAGTACAAAATTATTTTTGCCTTTATGTGTTTGATCCTTTTAAAAATTCGAACTTAATGTACATTTACTTCATCTAACAAATTATTTCCTTTTAGCTTTATGCTTTTCATTCGCAAACATTGGAGATTCCTAGATGTCCTGATGGTTGGTCCACTTTATGGCCTGGAAGTAGTTTCCTTATGGTGAGTTCTCTCAACATGAAATTGGATAATTTATTTCTAATAATGTTTTCATTCTTTTTTGTGATACTATTCAACCTAACCAAAATATATCTTATTTCACATCGTATCCGTAAAATTCAGAATAACATAGTCTAATGTTACAGTAGTCCAAGTACAATACTAAAATACAGTTGTTTTACAGTTCTTAGCCAAATTTACTTATTAGAACCTAGCTATCCGAGATTAATACCATTATTGTGCTTTGAAAAGTTGGATTAAGAATAAAATAAGTTTTTCATTAGTTTGTACTCAAAAATAACCATGCAGATTATTTTTGAATAAATAGTTGTAAGTCAGTTTTCTTCTAAGTATGCTTTCATTCCTTCACAATTCAAATAACTAGATAAATTAATTTGCTGATGCTAAAATTTTAAATGATATAATGAACATAAATAAAGACTAATTGATTTTGATGGAGTTTTGTTCTCTGATCTGGATGGTTTGGTCGTAGAGCTTTCATCGTTCTTCTGAACGACAGCATCAGCACAAACTTCAGGTAGAAGTGAAGTGTACGAATTTCTCCATATATGGTTCACAGCTTATCCTGTAGACCTCAATGTTGATTGGTTTCTGTTGACCTTAAACCTGTCATTGTTTACTTCTTTGTTTTTATTGTATCTCCCATTGATTTCATTTTTGGTCATATGTTTGTCCATAATTTTCCTGATTGGTTGATAAATTGGGTCGATTTCAATGTGCTTGTTGATTGCCAAGCTTCTAAAAATTTCCTCGTATTTTTAGAATTGCCTCTATCCAAGATTTCCACATTTTTCCAGTCGAATGTGTGTCCGCAGTTGTCCACATGCATTGATATAAGTGAGGAAATATCATGGCGTTTGACCGCTAATTGAAGAGGCTGTCCGCTTTGTCCTATGTAGTATGAACCATATGTGGAGAAATTCGAACACTTCACTTCTACCTGAAGTTTGTGCTGATGCTGTCGTTCAGAAAAACGATGAAAGCTCCACGACCAAAGCATCCAGCTCAAAGAACAAAGCACCATCTAAATCATTCACCTGAGCTACAAATCTTCTCCACCATCTCAAACTCATTGATTCCCTTATGATCTTCATTTTAAACCTTTTCTATTCACTTGCTCTCTCAAGCCTGTCAGTCATAGCTGAAAGCTCAATAATATCCTCAGTTCCTTAATTGATATTCAATCAGCTGCCTAATGGTTCCAATTACTGAAATCAATTCTACTTGACTATTAGGCTCTGTTTTGTGAGAAACCTACCAGTTACTTCGGTCACTGTAGTAATTGTTTCGATATGTTTGTAATAAAGAGAAAATTATTCAAGATTTTATAAAATCGTATTTAATTATTAACTGTTACATTGAATGAATCAAACGGAAAGATTAGGAATTTTCCTCAGAATTTTTTATTGTCATGAAAAGGAGTTTTAGGGTTTCACCTGTTAACTTTCACATGTTTTCCAACTTCGTATTACAACTTGAAAAATTAAAGATAAGGTTATATTATTCCAGTAAGTATTAAGTGACCAGAAAACTCTTCAATCGTACAGAAGATAATTTGAAATCCAAACAGTTCAGCTAGTTGTCTAAAGTGTAAAATCAACTATCTTCAATCAATTTATATATCAATTAAATAGTTCTTTTCATATAATATTCCTGAATTTACACTGTATACTGAGTACTAAATAAAAATATATTTACTATAAACAATTTTTTAATTATTTTAGAATACTGGTTATGGAGCACAAGGTGGAGGACAACAATTAGCATCTCCAGGTAGTTGTTTACCACAATTTCGATCTCATATGTTTATTGAATGTACTGCAAAAGGTTTATGTGGATTTTTTGAAGAACATAAAAATTTCTGGTTACGTGTTATGCCTAGTTCTATGGATGAACATATGTTTGGTATGGTCATGGGTACTGTCATTAAAGTACGTAATAGTCAAGATTCAGTTAGTAAATGTGTTGTATGTATGAGAACACAACCATTGTCAACATTATTTTATTTAAATTAATTATGCTTTTAATGTTTGTTTTTCCTTTCTTTTCTCTAAGCATTTCACATAATAATTCTTACTCTTTCTTTTGTTTATTAAAACAAACAAACAAATTTATTGTCAACATTAAAATATCAGAATTAAATTTTTAAATTTAAAATAACCACGTTATTTTATTTTTGAAAAAAAAATAAAACAAAAAAACAAAACCAAAACTGTTTCCAAAATGTATTTTATTTTCATGTTGGGATAAATGTTGTTTAGTTTATTTATCATAATTAAAAGAGGTTCAAAGATCTAGAATAATTAAAATCAATAATAGTTACATGAATTAAAACAAATATTATCGCTTTAAATGCTTAATTATATATATATATATATTATATATACAAAAATCAAATCAAATTTTATTGAACAATTCAATGTTAAATTTTTGTTTCTATATTAATTCAAGTAAAAAAATTTCAACAAATTCAAGATTATTTTACATCTATTCTAAAAGAGGTTTATACCATTACCATAATATTATGATGTTGAAAACTTTTTTTTCTTTTTTTCTAAAAAAAAAGCGAAAGTACAACATAATTTACCTAATTACCAACCTTAAAAAAATAGCAATTTTTTGAATTTAACTTTATTCTAAATATATTCTCTGATTTTATAATAATAATAAGTATTATTATTACAATTCAATATTTCACAGACTATGTTTTACTAACTATTACTGAGTGTTTCGGTATACCTGCCCCTCAAGTTAGTCAATAAAAAAAGGGTACATATATTGGAGGGGGGATATTTGCATATTCATATTATAACCTGTAAGTGTTAGGCTGCTTTTGAATATATATTTCTTCAAATATTTAGGAGTTTATTGGATTGATGAATACATATATATTGAGCATAAATATACATGTTAACCATTGCTTCTTTATTAAAGAACTTTTATTTTTCAGTGTTTATTGTAATAAGAAGAGATATACATATTGTAAAATTTTGACAGTTTAGTGTTTTTTGTCATTTATTCAATGTTACTGTTCTTTTCTAGTTTGAAATTGTTCTTCCTTTTTCAAAATGTTAAAACATAAATAATAAATTTGATGATTTAATTTTAATTTAAATTATTTTCTTCACTTTTGTTGATAACTCTAAGTGATGCTAGGTAGCCAACGAGTCAATTTTTTTGTCAAGGAGCCAAATAAACCGAGTTATGTAGCACTCTGACATACTCAAAACGTCTAAATCTTATCTAGAATACTGTAATATATATCACCTGTCAAGGAAAATAATATTTACTCAAAAAATCATCAGGATGATCACTGTTACTAAATCAGTAAGATATGTGCAACTATACACTGTTTCATAACTAGTATGCGATGACCGGGAATCACTTCACTTGTCGTAATGCATAAACATTCCTCAACATTTGAGTCTGTTCGCTAATATATGAATTTGAAACTGTTTTTGTACACAACTTGTTAGTGATTGCAGGTTGACCGAGAAAGGCAGATATTTGTGGAAAGTCCCAACTCTACCAATGTCATTCCAGCAATGAGTTTGTTTATGCTGTTGTCGACTTCGCGATGTGTTAGTCGCACGTGGAGATCACAATTAACTATCTCAGTGAAGCGGTTGGAAAACTGTTGTGATGTGAACTCTTTGAGATGTTCGAAACGTCATGAGAATTTATCTTGGAGCATCAACATCTGTTGACTATATTCCTGATCAGACTGTGAAGAGATATTTTCTGTGTCTAGTGTTGGTAAATGAGCATAGTTAAGTTCTCTAAATTGGTTAGGTAAAGAACTGAGTCTGATTTCAAACGCTTTAATTTCTGTAAACACACTCTACCATTTCCTATTGAGTTAATTTAGTATACCGATAATATTAGCAGAAAACTTAAAAAGAGAAAACCATTAGGTTGTCTTTATATTATTAATGAAAATCCCGTATAGAAAGCTTTCGATTTAAAGGAATACCACAACTTTTCACAGAAATTTCGAACTCTTCTCAGTAATTTTCGAAAGTATAGCCAAAAAACTTCAGTATGATAAGGTACATCAGAGTATTTTGTTCCAGCAGTTCTGAAGAGGGTTTTGAATTTTCAGACAGATGTTATTTTTGCCTATCATTGATCAATTGAACAGTAAATTTCAGCTTTAAATATCAATCGTCACTTAATACATAATCTCATACACTTTAAGAAAATTACTTGAGTCCGTCAGTTTTACATAAACAGATAATATACTAGTGAATTTGTTTCATTTGTTGACAAAACCATTGGTTTTTATTACTCACTTTTAAAATGAGCTATTTACAAATTCCTCATAAATCATTGTTAATTAAATATGTGCTATGCAAGACTAAACGATTGTGTAAACCTAAAAAAAAGATTAAGAGCACTTCTAATAATGAACAAAGAAATAAAGCTATGACTGGAGCCGAATTTTTTTTATTCACCCCTATCAAATATTAATGCACTTATCCTTGTTGAGTTATTTAGACCAGTAACCATATCGTAACTTAATCAATCAGTACAAAAAGACTAAACAAACAAGACATTGATCACTGTCCAGTGACCAATTAATTACAACGTTGGAGTGGCCGGGCGATCTAAGGCGTCAGACTCAAGTGTTCTGGTTCAAAATGTGGACGTGGGTTTGAATGCCACCCCGATACGTAGCCCCGAAATGCCCTGGTACGGCAGAGGGTCCGCTCTCCCTCTCCAAATGCTCTCACATGACCACGCGTATACAGCCACTGTCAAGGAACTCTTACTCACTGCTTTCTCGCAGCAGGGGTGTTGTTTACGAAATTCAGAGGATGAAAGGCGAATGTCCGGCGCTTTAACCGAGTTGGTGGGTACGGAAGATTCATCTAGGGGAGTTGGAAAACCCTGATTCCAAACCAATGGTGCACATAGACTCCAGTATCATGAAGGAATAAATGGCGTATGAACCAATCGTTGGTCACCGGCTACCATGGGACTGCATCTTCTTACGTTGCTCCACTGCCTTGTGGATTAGACCTTCATGTCAAAGGCTCGGGGTGTGGCCCCCTATGAAAACTGCCTGCTTCGGATCGGCTACCCAGTCAGTATTACAGCTCTCACACAAATCGAATGATTTATGTGGCACATATCTATTTGGTTCTTTCTTGTACCTATGTTTACGTGTTTAAATAAATAAAATACAACAGAGCATTATACAGACAAAATCTTATTTCAGCTATTATTTTTAATATGATAGTGGAAGTGAGAAAACTACAGATACTTTTTTTTTTTCTGCAAACAAGAAAGTGGATTAGAGGTTTAAAAAAGGAAACGAACAAATAAAAATCTGCACTGCAAGTCATCATGTTACAGGATTTAGTGATAGTAACAATCAAAAGGCAAAAGCCAGGAGTAAAACAAAATAAAACTAATCATTTTGATGTAAACAATTTTACTGTTGTCTAAAACAATTAGTTCCTTTGATAAATTTTCATAATACTATGAGAAGACGAAGGTAATCAGAATTATGTAATGTCTTTGCGCAATACATTTCGGACAATCTGATCACAAATGTACTTAAAAACTATGTATTGCGCAAGTATATGACATAATTCTGATAATCTTCATCTTCTTATCGCACTATCAAAATTTATCGTTGTCTGTCGTTTTTATTGTGGAGTATTATTTAAATCCATTCAATATAAAGATTAGTTTACATGCATTTTGTATGCTTTATTTAAAAATGACAAAATAGATGAGTTTATTTTTCTCAAAGGTTTGTTTTGAAGAGATAAATGTTATTTATATGAGAGAACGAGAGAGAAAGAGAGTAGGCCTCGTACACACGAACATAATCGTATGAAAAAAAACAATAACCATAAAAGAAGAATCAATGTGTACAAAATGTCTGTTAGGAAAACAACATGAGTGGATATAAGATCAGAAAAGTACCATAAATGTTTTTGTGGGCGGGAGGGGAAATAGGGACGAATTTCCCATACATGCGCATCTACACTTGGATATTTACTATACATGTTTATAAAACTGCAAAACAGAAATAAGATAACCAAAGAAAATCACATAGTTGGTAGAAAAAGAAGTAGTAGTAATAGCACTACACAAACGTGTATACACATAAAATCGTTTTATTTTTGATCTGTTTTGCAGTGTAGATTGATATTAGATGGGAAAGGATTGAGAAGCATATATTTAGAATAAAACTATGCATTTTCTACTCCTTGTAGTAATGATTCTTTATCTTGACTTTTTGGATAAGTTTTCATTGGAATATTTGATTTACGCTTTGACTGGGATCTTTGTACTCGTGTCACTCCATCTGTTAAACCAGACTGAGACCATCTATGGAAGTAAGAGGGAAAATAATGAAACACATTTATAGGATTGCGTGCACAACCTATTATAAAACTAATCATTTTAAACAAAACAAGTAACAGATAACAAGTCAAGTACATTTTCTTCTTATTTACAAAACTATTTATTTTTACTCAAGTCTGATCGACAATCGTCTAAATATAAGAACGTAGAGGTTAATATTTTCAAGTGAACAAGAAACCGAAATAATGAGTATTGGTTAAGAACTCTATATCTCTGAAATTTAATGGCATAATTAGGATATATCAAATATTATACCCGGGCAGTATTTCAGTTCTCACACAAACCGAATAACGATGTGTGGCGTATATATATTTGGTGCCTCATTGTACCGATATTTATATGTTTAAATAAACAAATAAACAAAGTATTACCCTACTACTAGTGGATAATATATGTAATATAAACGGATTTTAGTCAAAGCGAAATACTACACTAATAAAAATTTTACAACTGATAAACACGTGTTTGTTAAAAGATGAAACACTTTTATTTTCTGCCTGCTGTTATCTTGACATGATAAACGGGGTTGCCTATTGTGATGACCCAAACGAAGTAGATTAGCCGGGCACTTGTTTCCTTAGGTATTTATCATGCTATGTAGGTCAGTTGGAGAATGATAGATTTGAAAGCAACAGATTAACGCCCAAGGGAAAAGTTTTACTTTAAACTGTACTGAAGTTTGATGGCCGTCAGACAATTCCGTCAAACACCTAATAAATACCGCAGTGGTGCCCTCTTATAATAGACGGAAGAAGTTAGGAAACATCGACAAAAAATGGCAAACCTCACCAAAATTCACGGATTGCTACCACCAGCGGTAAAGCATTCAAAATGCGAAGCCAACACACCAGGAACTGCTGGCAAATAGATTATGTACGACATGCCTTAAGCAGTAGTCCATTGCGCTCTGAGGTCACGTTCCCAGGTAGCCAAAACCACTATTATTCTAGTCATTTCCAGTTACATCAAGAATAAGTATTAGCAAGTCAGGAATGTCAGCCGCTGACACAACTCGACTGACTGAATTGTATTTAAACATATTGAATTGTCATAGTAAGAACTTGTATGTTTACTAGAGCAGTTTAAATATATCAGTTAAATTCGAAGAGTCCTCGTCAAAGACTAACAAAACGAATTCAAGATAGCTCTCAACGACAGGTTACAAGCCTTACAAGATCTGCTGAAAGAAGAAGAAACTACTGGAAAGGGATCAAAGAAGCACTAACATCAACGAATCAGAAGGTTCTGGGCCGCAACAAGCATCGTCATAAAGAATGCATCTCTATCGAAACCCGGGACAAGATTCAAAAAAGGAAGAACAGGAAGATAGTAATTAACAATAGCCAAATAATAACAGAGAAAGTCAGGGCACAAGCTGAATACTCTCAAGCAAACGAGCGAATGGGGAGCAGTAATAGAACCGACAAACAAAAATACGTGGAGGGCCTAGCAACGATAGCGAAAAGAGCTGCAACAAAAGGAAATATCAGAAAAGTATATGAAGCAATGAAGAAACTGGTAGGAAAATGTAGTAAACCGGAGAGATCGGTCAAGGACAAAGAAGGCGAGACAATCACTGAGATTCAAGAACAAAGGAACAGATGGATGAAACACTGAGAAACTCTTCAACAGACCGGCTCTATTGAATCCAACGGATATCGAAACAGTACGCACAGACCTTCCTATAGATGTCACCCCACCAACGATCGAAGAAATTAGGATGGCCGATAATCAGACAA